TGTGGAAGGCAAGGGAGGTGCCGCGGTGGTGCTGGGGGTCGAGCCGTCGCAGAGGGTTCGGGAGGCCTTGCCATGGCGTGGGCTTCTGTGCCGGGCAACATGGGAAGGCTGCTGTCACGGCTCCTGCTTTTCTTTTCCATACCCAGTTCCCCAAGCCCTTCGGCTATTTTCCTCTTCCATCATTAGAGGAGACTCGGGAGCCCACCGTGGTGTGTTTGGGAGTCTGCCCTGGTTAGAGATGACCCTGGTCTTCTCATGGCATTTTCCCCTCCCTGAAAGCGCCCCACTCCCCGGGACGGCATCTCCCCACGGAGGGCAGCAGCGTGGAGGCTGCCAGCGAGGCAGAGCTCCAGGAGAGAGTGCAGGAAAGGCAGAGAGAGAAAGAGGGGGCAAACAGGAAGGATGAGGGGAGAGGCAGGGGAGAGGAGAGAGGGGCAGACCCAAGCCCAGGCTGGCTGGGGCTCCCTTTCCCTGTCTCTTGTGTCTGGGGAATCTCTGAAGCCAGAGAGTGGGGGTCCAGTCCAGCCAGGGACTGACCAGAGTCTTTGGACAGAGGAATTGTTTTGGGTTGGAGCCCTAAGAGTCAACAGGACTTGGGCAACTAGTTGTTTTAGTCGTGTTGCCATCTCTGTAATTGGAATGTCAAAAGCCATGACACAGAGCTTTCTAAAATATAAAATTTAAGCAACTTCTGGAAGGGGGGCAGGGCGTTGAGGTTGGATTTTGGAGCTTCCTTCGAGTGGGGCCTGCGTCAGGGTTGTGTAAGATTGCCTCACTGGGCTGTTGAAAGTTGAGGCCTTTCTTCCTGGCAAGGTCTTGGCTAACAGCACAAGATGATCTTCTTCATCCTATAGGGGTTGCGGGTTGCACCTTGCCTAACTGAGATGAAGTCTGGGGTACTTTGAGACTCTGACTCAATTTATCTTCTCTGAAAGGCACCACCTCAGGCTCTCTGTAGTTCTCGCCTGCACTATTGGGGCAGCCTCTGAACACACTACATGACGGTGGTCTCACTCCCACCCCAAATCCCTCCTATAAACCATAGATAGACAGACTTCTCTGAAATGCAAATGTGATTATATCATTTCCCACCCTGAAGCCTTCTCTGCTGCTGCCCCCATTCTACTGGGTGGAGTGTCGCTCCCTGGCCTGCCAGGCCCTGCTCTCCTTGGTATCTCCACCTCCCCCTCTCACACTCCCTCCTCGTTCCTGCTCAAACCCCACACATGCCCACTTCCAGGCCTTTGCACACACGGTCTCCTCTCTCTGGAGCACCTTCCTGTTTATCCTGGGGTGTCTACTGCTACTGGCCTCGGATGTCACTGTGACACTCACCTCTCCAGGGAGACAGCCCCAGTGCAGGATGGGCATCGTTCCCACCCCAAAGTCCCGTTGAACTTCACATCTGCCTGGCTTTTCATTTTCCGTATGGGAATCATTTGAGGCTCTGTCTTGTCTCTCCTGCATGCCTGGGAGCTCGTTGACAATACGGTCAGCCCTTATTCACTGTGGTGGCCCCTCAGAGCATTATATGGTGCCCAATACACGGTAAGTCTGCAGTTAACATCTGTCGAGTGAATGAGTGGACAAACGAGTGAATGGACATGTGAATTCATGCCCCCCCAAATGCTGGAGCCATCCTGCACCACCCAGGCCCCGGGGCACATGCAGAGCACCGTAAAGCATCAGGGCGGAGTCCCGCTGCCGAGACCCCTGCTGCTCCTTCCTCATCCCTGCCAGAAAGGCATCCAGAAGTTCAGGTTCCACTGCCAATCCCTGGACAGGAGGGCAGCTCATCTTTGTAGGATTTGGCAGATAGTCATCTGATGACAGGCTGTCCTTGGTTCTTTAGTCACTATAATGCTGGGGAAATCCCTAAAGTTTGTGTTTCCCACAAGGAATCATCAGTCATAGGGGTGGCCGCCAATTCTCTCTTGACACTGACATTCTCTCTCTCTCTGAGAGAAGCAGCCTGCTCCCCACCCTCAACAGAACCAGATCTTTTTAAACTGGAAGGGGCTAATGGAAGGAAGAGATTAAGTCATCTTGATGGGCTCTGTTGAACTATGTTTAAAGAAAATCCCACAGAGCCCTGTGAAAGTGACTTGCAGTCAGAACTTTTCCTGGAGTCTAGAATAGTCTTCTACACTCAGACTGAGTTAGCAGGGAGATAAGGCAAAAGCAAGGACTGTTGGTATCTGAGAAGCTCCATCCTCTGGGCACCCTGCTGCTCAGCTGCTCTGCCCTCTGTCCGACTCCAGGTTGCCAGGAGGCTGGCATCCCCCTCCAGGTCCCCAAAGCTACCCCACCTCACACCCACTGCACAAGCCCTGCACCCTCCCTGCAAAGCACCCACTTCTGCTTCAACCATGGCATCCAGCTCCATAGGGTCCTAGGACCATCCTACCTTCACTTGCTTGTCCCTAAGTTCTCACTGAGAGCTTATTCCCTGCTGGGATCTGGGATATGGGGAAAATCAGCCATAGGCCCTGCTTTCAGGGGCTCATGCCTACAGATGAGGGGTTACAAGTTCATATTTGAAGTGCAGTGATGGAAGTACCGGAGAGTTCTGTGGGCCTGGAGGAGGGAGCCCCTATATTCTTGAGAGGGGCAGGTGGTTGGGAAAGTCTTTGTGGCTCTGAGGCCCGTGGGTCCTAAGGGACTTGCTAGAGACACCAGGATGGAGCAGAGAACTCGTGGTGCAGAGGGGAAGAGGCTGGAGAAAGCCTGCATGTGATTTAGGGAGAGCATTTTGAAGAAAAAGAGGAGTGGATGCAGGGATGAAACGGTGGATGATATGGGATTAGATTTATTCTATGTCCTCAAGGGGGCTGGAGGGAAAGTAGGACTAATGTCTGGCAGGCACAAGGAGACAATTCTTTCCTCAGTGTAATGAGGGGCTTTCTAAGTGGTAGTGCCAAAGGAGGAAGCTCCCCTTTCCTGGAGGAATTCAGGCAGGGTTGGTTCAACCCCTTGGCAGGGATGTTGGACAGAATTACTCAAGGGTGGGAGTGGTGCAGGTTAAGTCAATATTTGTCATTTTTTTTTCACAACAAATCTCTTTCTTCAAACCCAACAGTTCTGATTGAACAAAATCGGGGCGGGGACTTCAGATTCCCATAAACTTGCTGCCCGTTACCTTCAGGGGTGGGATTCTGTGATGCTAATCCAGAAGCCCTCCAGAGTTTTAATCCCACTCCTCTCCTCCCTCCTTCCCCCACAATTTTCCCTGGGAAAAAGCATGGAATATGTGAGAAATTTTAGGACATTTATACAGTCAGTATTTGTTGCGAACCTACTGCATACCAGCCACTACTCCAGGTGCTGGGAATAAAACTGACTATTTTATTCTGTCCCTGAATAAAACAGGGACAGATGCTGGGGACCATGCCCTCTGGAGTTCATGGTCTAGTGGGGGAAGTAGACATTGTGCCAAGTAATGGTGGGTAGAGGAGGTGGGGGAGCACCTCCCACCCTACTGGAAACATCTGGTCTCAGGCCTCCCAAAGGGGATGAAGATGGTGACTCCTCCCTGGATGCAAGTATGGGTACAGAGGGCTGTCAGAAGATGAGCGTCTCTAGCTGTCTGGCCCCCAAGTCAAGCACAGAAGGGACTGGTGAGGGCTTCTAGATTCTGCTGCCTAAGCTCACAGCCTAAAACAGTTCCTGGAGACACCCTCATGCCCTTGAGTGGGAGAAGCACCCTGAAATCCCTGTGCCCAGAGCAGAGCCTCCTGGGCCATTGGAGCAGGTTGGGGACATAGCCACAGCCAGGCAGTGAGGGAGGAGCTGAAATCTGACCCTTCTTAGAAGATAAGAAGCTCTTATCTTCTCAGATCAGTGCTGGGGAGGGAGCTGGCACATCCAGCTCATGGAGCAGATGGGGTTCAAGCCCCTGTGCTCACAGTACTATTTTAACCAAGTCCACCATGGTGTGACCTTGCACTAGTCTCTTCTCCAGGTATGCCTTGGTTCCTTCATTTGACAAAGGGAGAGTAGGTGACTGCTAGTCTTTCCCCAGCTCCCCCACATCCTGTTTCTATGAGTCTTCTCTCTGCTGAAAGGACAGGTGTCAGAAGACCCAGATCTGGGCTCTGGTTTTTGGAAGGCCCACCCCTGCTGGTTATAACCTGGGAAAGGGACTTTAGGCCAGAGGGCAGGGAGATGGCAGAAGAGTCACTGGGATGGACTTGGAGGACAGCAGCAGCAGCAGCCCTGGGGTAGGTGGGGCCAGGCCTGGCTGCAGGCTTTGCAGAGAAGCAAGTGCCCCTGCGGGCTGAGCTCTCAGCCACTGATGAGGAACTGAAGGAATCTCAGTCAACGCAGGGAGGAGAGTGGCCCTCACCATCTTCAGGCCCCAGCGGCTGTCTGCATCCAGAGTACAGACTCCTCATGGTAGTCACGGAGCTCATGTCTTCCGATGGCCAGCCAGGGGCTCCTGGGCACGGGCTACACTCCAGACTTCCATGCACGCGAGCACCCCTGCGTCCACCAGCACCCACGGTTGGGATGCTGGGTGTGTTAAGAGAGACCCAGTTGCTCTCTTGGATCCAGAAATGAGTTTGAGGGTAAACACACTCAGTTTGTCCTTGTTTCCACTGCTGGAGCCCAAGTGTTTCTCCTCAGTCATCCCCAGCCATGGCACCATCCAGGTCCATTTCTGGAAGACTTCCAGGGCAATGGAGTCTATCAGGAGAGAGTGGGCTGTCTGGACAGTGACAGGTGTGCAGGGTTGGGCTGTGGGGAGGGGAAAGGATAGCCCCTTCTGCTTTCTGTGGTGACAAGAGCCATTTTGTCAGGATGGACAGGGAGGTCTGAGATGGGACAGGGTGACCTGGTCATGAGCAGCGGGGCCTGAAGTCAGAGGGGAGGACGCTGTCGGGGGGTGAGCCCACGGGGCTCAACACAGACTCATGTGTTGCTGCCTCTATTTTGTTATTACTAAGTGAGAGGGTCGGGCCACCGATAAGCGCAGGGTGGAGGAAGAAGCACGCAGAGCGCTGGTATGGAGGAGAACTTTATTTTCCCCCAGCCCCAGCCCCACAGCCAAGGCAGTTTGGCACAATAGCTCCCAGGGCTCTGGTTGGGCAGCACAGGGTGGCCTGGCCTCCTGATTAGTGGCCGTGGCCATGCCCGTGGCTGTGGCCATGGCCATGGCCACCCTCTCCAAGGCCTGGCCCATGGCTGTGGCCATGGCCGTGGCCGTGGCTGTGGCCATGGCCCTGACCCTGAGTACCCTCCCCAAGGCCTGGCCCATGCTCGTGGCCTGGGTCAATGGGGTGCTGGGCATTCTTGTGCATCTCCTCGTGGGAAGCTTCGGTCAGTCGTGCCATCAGGACAATGAACTCCTCAAAGGACAGCTGTTTGTCCACGTTTGTGTCCAGGTCCTCCATGATGTGCTCTATGGCCTTGTCATTCCTTTTCTCCTTCTGTGGGTGGGGAGAGAGGGCAGTTAGGGCCGTGTGGCTGGTGGTGGGGCTCGGGAGCACAGAGAACTACCAGGTGGCGAGTGCACAGGGAAGCGTTGCCCCTGGGGCTGAACTTAAAAACTCAAGGCGACCGTGGCCTGAGCACCCAGGATGGAGCAGGCTGAGCACGCACCAAGCACTTTCCAGGTTTCTCCCCACACAACTGTAGGACTTGGGTGCTATGTCCATCTCTGCTTTACAGAAGAGGAAACTGAGGTCAAGGGACTTGACTGAGATGACATGATTAGTAAGTCTAGAAATGTCACGTCATCTGGTCCTCGTGCCAACTTTAACAGGTAGGCATGCTGTCTTCTTTGGGGAAGACTTGAGGCAACCAAGTCCTAGAGAGGGTCATTAGTTTTGATAGATTGGCGAGGCTCAGATCTGCCTTGGGGTCCCGCCCCATCCCCTCCACTCTTCTCCCCCTCAGCCCCCTCCCACCCTCCCTCTGGAGCTTACTCTCAGCGAAACTCCCTCCAAACAGTGCAGCGGGGGGGCACATGGGCGAACAGATAGTGGGGGTCTTGGGGGTGGGGGCAGGGAGCAGTGTATGTGCTCTGCAGACCCCAAAGTGGGGGATAGAGTGTAGAAAGGAGCTGGCAGGTGAGGTGGGAAGGTTGGGGGGCACCAGAGAGTGCCAGCTGGGTCTAGCTCCGCTGCCCACTGGCTGGGGCACTTCAGCTGAGTCCCTCCTGGAACTGTGGGGTGCCCAGCTGGTGGGAGCAGTCGCTCCCGGGCAGCCAGGCCTCCGTGCCCTTCCTGGCCTATCACTGTGCTTCAGGGGCTGCCATAGAGGTGAGTGGGGCGAGCATAGGGGTCACGCAAAGGGGACCCTTGCCACACAGCCTCCTGCTGTACCCTCTCTTGTCCACCGATCCGGCATCCTGCTTAGCCGTCCGTGTCCCTGATATTGCCGATGGCTGTGACCCTCCACGTTACCAAGGTGGAGGGAGGGGCAGCAGGAGGCCTGGGGACCGACCCTGCATGGCTGGCTCCCAGACTGGAACTGAGACTGGGACCATGCGTCCCACCCTTCTTTGTCCCGGCCTCTGTTTCCCCACGTCCCCCAGTTTTGAAAAGAAAACAAAAAGGCTGTTGGCAGTTCCTAGAATTGTCTAATCATTTTCCAATCAAGGGGAAAAAAATCTCACATTTGGCTGAGTGCTCTGTGTGCCAGCGCTGTGCTGGGTGCTCTCCACATGCTAGCTATTTATCCGTTTCCCACCACAGACCCTCACGATGGGCAAAGCCCTCCACGCTCCACATCTTCCACCCGACGTTCCCACCGGAGGCTTAGAGTCTGCAGCGTCCCTCGAGTGTCGTCCTCAGGGGCTCCCCTCCCCAGCATTCAGGTCTCAGCTCGAATGTCACCTCCTCAGAGAGGCTCCTCTTGTCCACCCTCACTAGCCACCTCTACCCCACCCAGCCACATCACCCACAGTACTCTATCTTATTTTCTTCGAGGCACTTATTGGCATTGGGCTTTATCTGTGCTCTTTCTTCAGCGACGGCTTTGTCGTGCGTGGGACAGTGGGTTCCTTGTTCACCACTGCATCCCTCTGCCCAGAACAGGGCTCGGCACACGGCAGATGTGCAATCGAACACTTTCTTGCCCCTGTCGGTGCTGAGTCACTTAGCCCCCCCACCCACAGCGACGGGGCCCCTGCTGCCCCTGCTTGCAGACGGCACCCCTTCCTGCCTCCCAAGCCCAAACTGCGTGGGACCGACCAGAGTCCAGCCCTACCTTGAGGAAGTTTTGCAGATCTTTTTTCACCAGCTGTTTGAATTCTTTCTGGCTCAGGCTGTCTGGTGGCTGCTGCCGCACAGAGTAGTGGTGGAAGGTGTTGATCACCGTCTCTATGGCGCGTTCCAGCTGCGACTGTTCTCTCGCCATCTTTCTTGAATTCTGCGTAAAGCTTCCTTAACGTTTCCTACCGCTGCTCGCAGGGATGACGGGGAAACACAAAACAAAAAGAGAGCACATGCTGCAGCTTAACTGGGAGATGACCTGTCACATACATGTGAAAAATGATTTTAAGAATATCTGGGGAAAGCCAAAAAGCAAAGCATTTGAGGGCAGGAGGCTCCGGCAGAACACGACCTAAGAAAATGGGAAGAAAACTTTAAGGTGAGTGGGAGCAACCAAGGAGGGCTTCCAGGAGGAGAGTTCGGAAGGAAGTTGAATAGGGGGAGAAAAGAAGGAACGGGCGGGCAGGCTGTGCCCAGGGAAGCTGGCGGCTCACTTACCAAAGCCAAGGAGCTGCACAGAACGTTTGAGAGAGCAGCGCAGGCCCAGCATTTATAGGCAACCAGGGGCCGGGGCATTCGGCCGTCTCTCAGAAGATTGCTTCACAGGTGAGCAGTGTGGTAACGCTGCCAGGAAGGGGGCTGGGGCGGGGCAGGAAATGTTCACATGGTGCCTTCTGCCTTTTTGTGAAATTCCCAGCCCTGGCCTGGAGCAGGTTGGGGAGGAAGCTGATTGGGGAGTTCATTTCCCCTCCACCCCAAGTCCTCACTGTCCCTGAGCAAGCCAGCAAGCCTGCCACACCCCCGGCACCCCTCATCTCCCGTCCCCATTGAGGTTGTGGGCACCGTGCCACCTATGGTAGCCAGAAGCTGGTGGTGGGCTGAGGACCCCTCGGGTGCCCGACCCACTCTGCCTCCCCCATGGGGGCAGACTGTCCCTTCCATCAGTCCAACAAGGGTGGACTGAACCTTCCCCCTCTGCTTGCTTGGCTCTGTGACAAGTGCTCTTAGGCAGATGAGGGATTGGTGTGAGGTTCTTAGATTCATAGGGTGGGCATTGGGATCAGAAAGGTTCTCGGAAGTGGTCAACCCATTTGCATTGTAGATGACGAACTGAAACCCAGAGAAGGACCTAAGCAAGGTCACATAGTTGGTTGGCAACATAGCAGGATTTGGTCATAGATATCCTGGTTCCTGGTTAAGGGTGATTCTGTTGATACCTTCCTCTTGCAGTCTGACTAAGAGCACCTCAGGGCGAATGTGTTTTAAATAACTCTCAGTGTCACTCTTCCAAATCCCGCTTCCAATGAGGAGTCCAGGAACTTACAACATGGAAGACAGGTGTTTTTATGCAGCTTCTTGGTGGGTGAGACATGTCCCTACTCTGTTACCAACCTCCAGTGACTCCTCATTGCCTATGGGGTAAGCTGCGATAGCTTCGCCCAGCACACAAAGCCGTCTGGAAGTGGACTCCCCTCACTCTTCTGGCCCCGTGGGCGTGCAGGGCCCATCTCCCACCTTGCCACCCCAGGAATGCCCTTCCCTCATCACGCAGGGTAAGATCCTGCCCACCCCTCATGGCTCAGTTCAAATGCAACCTTTCCCAAGAAGCCTGCTCTGTTCTTCCCATTTGTATACAGTCTCTTCCTCCCTGGCAATCATTCCCATACCTCTGCCTCTCAACACTCACTTTCCGGGAGTAAAGTCATTTACACGATTGCCTCTGTCTAATAATTGGCTATAGCCCCTCAAAGAGAGGTTCTCACTCCTGTTTGTGCGCTCCCACGCACAGTCCAGGGCTTGGCATGCGAGAGCAGCTTCTGTTTGCTGAATGATCCGTGTCCTTGATGACATCTGATCCCTCACCCCAGGAAGCATGTATGGAGGACCCCCTCTGGGACCCTTCCCTTCCTCGTGCTCTTCCCTGTCTCTCCCTCCATCAGAGAAGATGGTTCTCTCCTTCATGCCCACTAGTCCTTTTGTCCAGGCTCCGTGAAGCCTTCCCTCATTGCCTCAGCCCGTCCTGCCTTCTCAGCCCTCTGAAAGCCCAAGGCAGCCCTGTGTGTGCTAAGCCTTGGCCCTAAGTACCGCCATCTTGCACTGCCAACACATGGAGTAGTGGTGAAGAGTTCAGACTGTCTGTGTGACCTTAGGCAATTTACTTAACTTCTCTGTGCCTCAGTTTCCTTATCAGTAAGGTGAGATAGGCTCATAACAAGACCTACTTTGAGGATTGCAATAGCACATGTAAACTTGAGCAGAGCTCAGTAAATAAGAGGTATTATTACTAGTTATCTCTTAATTCATTCATGCAACCAGTGTGGTCTAAGCATCCAGTGTCAGAAACCACTACTAGATGCTGGGAGAAATTGGCGAGTGAGTCATGATACAGAAGGGGGACATCATCTTATATCCTGTCTTCCAAATCACATTTCGAACTCTTGGTGGCTAAGGACAGGGCCTGGCACAGTGCTAAGCACACAGCCAGCAAGCATTTAATAAATGCTTGCCTAATGCAGGATTGAATGAATGAGTAAAATCATCTACGAATGAATGAATGATGGAGACACAGCCTGGGAACACATCATTGGAAACTTCAGATCCATTCCTCAACTGAGTCTGCCCCCTTGTGTAAGCTGGAAGACGCTCAGAAAACAGCCAGCAGCCCGCCCTGTGTGCCTCCCTCAGGCTGTTAAGAAACGCCTATTGTTTCGAACTCCTGACCTCCAGTAATCCGCCTGCCTGGGGCTCCCAGAGTGCTAGGATTACAGGCCTGAGCCACCGTGTGGGCCTAAGAAACGCCTATTGTTTATGGCAGCGCGGCAGATGCCAGGGTGCCCTTCCTGTGTGCTCCCACAGCGCCCTCTGCTGCCTCTGCCGAAGCACTTCTCACCACACACCCGTGCAGGAACAAGGCCCAAGGTGAAGCTGGCGGGGCATGAGAACATCAACTGAGCCAGGCGACCCATGCGGGGCCTCAGGTTGGGGACACCAGGGCGTGGTAGAGACTGCGGCAAAGGGGAGCGTTCCTCACTTGAAGGGACAGCCTGTACTCACTCGGCCCCTGGCAAGGGCTGCCCAGTGGGAAAATGGACCAGGTGTTGCTGGACCTCCTGAAGGTCCAGGAAGCCTGTACTTTTATGGGACAACTCCTGCTCGTAAAATTGGTCGACCAATTTTAAAGAAAATCAAAAACGCTAAAAAGGAAGCAGGGAGTGTGTAAAACAAAGTGTGCGCACACAAAGGGAGTGCGGTGGGTGCCTCTGCTCTGCTGGGGGGGTCTTGACCTTCAGGCCCGACTCCTCCTCCACAGTGGCTCCTCCAGGCAGGGATGCTGCCCTGCGCACCTCTAGAGTCCCGGCCTGGAGCATGGGCTGCTCGCCAGGTGCCGAATGAGCGTTATTCATTAGTTGCATGAATAAATGCAGGAGTGCAGAAATAAGTGAGGAAACGAGAGAGTGTGAGATGAGCCCTGGTCTGTTGCCCTTTGCCCTGTGACTTTCTGCAGAGCCAGTGACTGTGACCACAGTGTTGATTCAGGGTGAGAGTGCACAGGGCGTGGAGAGAGGAGGCTCGGCAGTGGGTGGCAGTGAGCAGCTACACAGGGCTTCGAAACAGACAGGAGTCGGACTCGGGGGATCCCATGGTGCCCTCATCTCACCCGGGGGCCCTCCACAGCCGGACCCCAGGTCCCAGGCTAGCCCAGGCCCAGGTGAGGCCAGGGCTGAGCCAGCCAGCTTCTGACCCAAGGCATCATGGGTAGGTGCCTCAGCGCCCCACTCGCCCCCCTCGCTGCCAACCGAGGCCAGAGGTTGGACCGACGGGTGTGGGAGGGAGTCTTCTCCTCGGGGAACTGATTTTGCAGGTAAACTCAGCGCCTCCTGCTAGGGCAGGAATAGAGCCAATTTTCTAGACTCTGGACAGTGACTCGGGTTGTCATTGAGAGAAAAGGGTGTGGCTTCCTCAGCCGGGTTAAGAACAAACATGCAAACAAACAAAGCAGGCAGAGGCTCCCGCAGCTGCAGCCAAACCTCGGACTCCTCCCCTCCCCCCACCGCTCACCCCGCTCAGGACCTGGAGAGGGTCTGCGTCTCTCCCCTTCTCTGCAGCCCGTCTGCGCGTGCCTTCTAGGGCGTTTTGCCCCTTCTGAGTTGGAAGTGGGAGTTACAGTAGGACTCTGGACTGAGGGCCGGGGAGCTGGGGTCTAGTCCCAGCTTTGCCAGACTTGCTGGGAAATGACTTTAGACATCATTTCTGTGCTCAGGCCTCCATTTTCTTTTTTCATTTTTTAGTGTATTATGGGACTACAAGTGTTAAGATTACATATATTGCCCATCAGGCCTGCATTTTCTTGTCCATTATGGGAGGAGATTGGGACAGCAGGCCTTTAAGTAATTTCTAGTGCAGATTCCAGGTTTTGATGGAGTCTTCGTGGGCTCCATGAATACCATGAGCCTCATGGCTCCAGGGCTCTGTCTCCCAGTTTACCTGCTCTCCTAGTGGCTGAAGTCAGGTTCCCCCTCCCCATAGGGAGGCTGATGCCTGGGCTCAACCCCTGCCAGGCTGCATACAGCCTGCTGCCTCTTTGTCGCCTCCATCCCTTGCTCCTTGCTTGGACTCCCAGGTATTCTTCCACAGAGATCCCTGGATCTGAGTTTCCTTATCACAGGTCCCCTGACATCCTTTATCCCCCCACTGCTCATTCTGGAGCTCTGGTGCATTGGGGTAACTCAGAGAAGTTATCCACGGGAACTGCAGACTGTTGTCCTGCCACCTTTGGGCTCCGTCCACGCCAAGCCTTGACCACCGCCCTGCGTCCTGGTAGCCATGCCCAGGTCTCTGGGATGTCTCGCCAATGGCAACCCCATTCCTGCCCTCCCGCTGGGCTGCTCCAGCATCCACGGTGAGGCCTCTCCAGTTACCTGGCTTCTTGGACCCTCAAACTGAAGCTTTCCCACGTCTGAACACTCTCCTTCTGTCCCCACCTGGGCTGCCTCCCTGCTCATAATCCTTGTCATTTCCAGGAAACTTTGCCTTCCAAATTGGGAAGCTGTTATTCCCTTTTCTGTTCTCTAGCTTCTATTTTCCCAGTCCTTCCTCCTCTCCCGTCTCTCGTGCATGGCTTTTCACCTCACTAGGCCCCCAGTTCCACAGCCCTCTAGAAATGCCTGGTGAGCATCTCAGTATCTAGCTGTTGGCTCCCTCTGCCTCTCAGGAATCCCTTTGAAGTGTACAGCCCTTGGTAGAAAATAAAGGGCTTTTTCAAACATTACCCTGTTGGCACTATAATTACTGGCCTTTGGATCTGTCTCCCTCACTAGATTATGAGCTATGTAGAGCGGGGAATCTTGATTCACTCATCCCCTGATGATAAGCTTTGCATATGAGCGACATCTGACAAACGTCTCCAGAATAAAATGTATGACTGACTTGGTTTGGAAAGAACTTATGCTTAGAGGATTGTTATTTCCTGTAATTAAGAAGTTGTGCAACACAGGAGATTGCAGAGGAGAAAAAGGAAGTGCAGAGGCGTGATGGAGAAATAGGGAGACGGAGAGAGACTCCTAGTGGGGAAAAGTGGCTCCAGAATTATGAGAGAGTGAATGCTGCCACCTTGTGGCCTGACTGCATCAGGACAGCCTGTGGGATTCCTCTGGCCCAGGATTTTCAACCTTTTTGTTCTCAGAACCCTTTTATACGTTTGTAGAAATCATCGAGTATCCCAAAGAGTTTTGTGGGTTATATCTACCAATATTTACTATAGTAATAGTTTGAAATTTTCAAAATATTTATTATTCATTTAAAGTAGCATTAATAAACACATTACATATGAACACATCTTTAAAAATTAAAAAAATTTTAATATATAAAATAATTATATATTGTTTTATTGTTACAGCAAGTGTTACAGCAACTGACTGGGGAAAGAACCGAGCGGCACACAGAGAGTCAGAGAATCAGCCTGAGCCAGTGGGCTCAGAGGGGCATGCCACCAAATTCTGAGCCCCGCTTCCTTGTTTTTCTTCAATTTATACATTTCTTGGGACTACACACAACCAATCAACTATGAGCATAAGGAGTTATCCAATCAGCGGTGGGATTCAAAAGCATCCAATCAACAACAAGTGTTACATATGTCCAATCTGCAGTGAGTTCAGTCATGGGGCCCTGGGGTGGGGGTTTTTCCCTGTCATTAGAAAAAGCTAGTTATATATCATTTTTAAAAAGATAATGAGAAGTGTGTCTTTTATTTCAAAATATTAACGACACACAAATGTTTCTGTTACATGGATAGCTTTTATAATATTTAAGTCAGGGCTATTAGTGTGTCCATCACCTGAAGAGTGCTCATTGTACCTGTTAGGTAAGTTTTTACCCCCCACGTTCCCCAATTCTTGATTTCCAATGTCTTTTACTTCTCTCTGTGCCTATGTGTGCCCATCGATTAGTTCTAAATTATTAGAGAGTACGTGTGGTGTTTGTTTTTCCATTCCAGAGATATACTTCACTTAGGATAATGGTCTTCAGTTCCATTCAAATTGCTGCAAAAGACATTAATCTATTCCTTTTTATGGCTGAGTAGTACTCCATGGTATATATATATACCACGTTTTGTTAATATCCACTCATGAACTGATGGACACTTAGGTTGATTTCATATCTTTGCGATTGTGAATTGTGCTGCAATAAACATTTGAGTGCAGGCATCTTTTTGATAAAATGACTTCTTTTCTGTTGGGTAGATACCCAGTAGTGGGATTGCTGGGTGAAATGATAAGTCTGTATTTATTTCTTTGAGTAATCTCCATACTGTTTTCCATAGAGGTTGTACTAATTCGCAGTCCTACCAACAGTGTATATGCATTCCTTTCTCTCTGCATCCATGCCAGTATATATTGTTTTTTGACTTTTTAATAATAGCCATTCTGACGGGGGTAAGGTGATATTTCACTGTGGTTTTAATTTGCATTTCCTTGATGATTAGTGATGTTGAGTATTTTTTATATGCTTCTTGGCCATTTGGCTATCTTCTTTTGAGAAATTCCTGTTCATGTCTTCTGCTCACTTTTTCAATGGGGTTGTTTGTTCTTTTCTTACTGATTTGTTTGAGTTCTTTGTGGATTCTGGATATTAGCTCCTTATCAGATGTATAGTTTGGAAATATTATCTGCCATTCTGTAGGTTGTCTATTTACTCTGTTGATTATTTCCTTTGCTGTGCAGAAGCCTTTTAATTTAATTAAGTCCCATTTATTTATTTTGTTGTCATTGTAATTGTCTTTGGGGTTTTAGTCATAAATTCTTTGTCTAGGCTGATCCCTCGAAGAGTTTTTCTTACACTTTCTTCTACAATTTTTATGGTTTCACGAATTACATTTAAAATTTTTGTCCATCTTGAATTAATTTTTTGAGTGGTAAGAGGTAGGGGTCCTGTTTCATCCTTCTGCATATGGCTCTCCAATTTTCCCAGCATCATTTATTGAATAGGGCTTCTTTCCCCAGTGTATGTTGTCTGCTTTGTCAAAGATCAGTTGGTTGTTGGTAGATGGTTTTATATCTGGGTTTTCTGTTCTATTCCATTGGCCTATGTCTCATTTTTGTACCAATACAATGCTGTTTTGGTTATTATAGCTTTGGAGCATAATTTGAAGTCTGGGAATGTGATGCTTCCAGATTTGTGTTTTTTGTTGTTGTTTTGTTTTTGCTTAGAATTACTTTGGCTATTCAGGCTCTCTTTTGGTTCCATATAAAGCATATAATTATTTTTTCTAGATCTGTGAAATATGACATTGGTATTTTGATGGGGATTGCATTGAATCTGTAAAGCACTTTGGGCAGTATAGACATTTTAACAATGTTGATTCTACCAATTCATGAGCATGATATGTTTTTCTGTGTATTTGTGTCATCTGTGATTTCTTTCGTCAATGTTTCATAGTTCTCCTTGTAGAGATCTTTCACCTCTTTGGTTAAGTATGTTCCCAAGTATTTAATTTTCTTTGTAGCTATTGTGAATGGTATTGAGTCTTTAATTTGACTCTCAGCTTGACTGTTTTTAGTGTATAGAAATGCTACTGATTTGTATACATTAATTTTATAACCTGAGACTTTGCTGAATTTATTTATCAATTCTAGGTGTCTTATGGTGGAGTATTTGGGATTTTCTAGATACAAGATCATATCGTTAGTGAAAAGCAGTAGTTTGACCTCCTCTTTCCCTTTTTGGATATTCCTTATTTCTCTCTCTTGCCCGATTGTTCCTTCTATGCCTACTTAATTTGTTGAGGACTTCTTTTTTTGTAATGAAAGCATGCTAGATTATGTTAAGTTCTTTTTCTGCACCCATTGAGATGATCATTTGATCTTTGTTTTTGCTTCTGTTTATGTGGTGAATCATGTTAATTAATTTACATATGTTGAACCACCCTTGTATCCCTGGGATGAAACCCACTTGGTCATGGTGGATTATTTTTTTTTTTATGTGTTGTTGAATTCAGCTTGCTAGTATTTTGTTTAGGATTTTTGCAACTACATTTATAAGAGGTATTGGTCTGTAGTTTTATTTTGTTGTTGTATACTTTCTTGACTTTGGTATCAAAGTAATACTGGCTTCATAGAATGAGTTAGGGAGGATTCCCTTCTTCTCAGTGTTATGGAATAATTTCTGGAGTATGGGTACCCGCTCTTCTTTGTAGGTCTGGTAGAATTTGGATGTAAATCCATCTGGTCTGGGGCTTTTATTTCTTGGGAGATTTTTTATTACCACTTCAACCTCTCTGCTTATTATTGGTCTGTTCAGGGGTTCTATTTCTTACTGATTAAGTCTTGGGAGGATGTGTATTTCCAGAAATTTGTTTGTTTCCTCTATGTTTTCTAGTTTATGTGCATAGAGATTTCTGCAGTATTCATAGATGATAGTTTGTATTACTGTGGTATCAGTTGCAATATCTCCTTTTTCATTTCCGGTTAAGCTTATCTGAGTCCTAAGTCTTCTATTCCTGGTTAATCTAGCAAGCAGTCTATCAATTTTGTTTATCATTTTAAAGAACCAACTTTTTGTTTCATTGATCCTTTGTATTTTTTTTTTCCATTTCATTTAGTTCTGCTCGGAGCTTTGTTATTTCTTTCTTTTCTTCTGCTGGCTTTGAGTTTGGTTTGCACTTCCTTTTCTAGTTTCTTGAGATGTGATATTAGGTTGTTAATTTGTGATCTTTCTGTCTTTTTGATGTAGGCATTTGAGGCTATGAGTTTTCTTCTTAGGACTGCTTTTGCTGAATCCCATAGATTTTTTTCTCTCTCTTCTTATTTTTTTTTTAATTTCAGTATATTATGGGGGTACCAATGTTTAGGTTACATATATTGCCCTTGCATCCCCTTCCCCCTGAGTCAGAGCTTCAAGTGTGTCTATCCCCCAGATGGTGCGCATCACACCCATTATGTATATATATCCATCCCCTCTTCCCCACTCCCATGTGCCTGACGCCTGATGAATGTTATTCCTATATGTGCACTTAGGTGTTGATCAGTTAATACCAATTTGATGGTGAGTACACGTGGTGCTTATTTTTCCATTCTTGGGATGCTTCACTTAGTAGAATGGTTCCAGCTCTATCCAGGAAAATACAAGAGGTGCTAGATCACCATTGTTTTAGTGAATAGTACTTCATGGTATACATGGAGTGTATAGTGAATAGTACTCTATGGTATACATATACCACATTTTATTAATCCATTCATGTATTGATGGGCACTTGGATTGTTTCCACACCTTTATCATTGTGAATTGTTCTGCTATAAACATTTGAGTGCAGATGTCTTTTTTATAGAATGTCTTTTGTTCTTTTGGGTAGCTGGCCAGTAATGGGATTGCTGGATCAAATGGTAGATCTACTTGTATCACTTTAAGGTATCTCCATATTGCTTTCCACAGAGGTTGCACTAGTTTGCAGTTCCACCAGCAGTGTATGAGTGTTCCTATCTCTTCACATCCACACCAATATTTATTGTTTGGGGACTTTTTGATAATGGCCATTCTCACTGGAGATAAGTGATATCTCATTGTGGTTTTGATTTGCATTTCCCTGATGATTAGAGATGTTTAGCATTTTTTCATGTTTGTTGGCCATTATTCTGTCTTCTTTTGAAAAGTTTCTGTTCATGTCCTTTGTCCACTTTTTGATAGGGTTGTTTGATTTTTTCTTGCTGATTTTTCTGAATTCTAAAGAGTGAATCCCATAGATTTTGATAGCTTGTGTCCCCTTTTGATTCAGTTCAAGGAAGCTTTTGATTTCCATATTCATTTTATCATTGACCCAAGAATTGTTCAGGAGCAGGTTGTTTAATTTTCATGACTTTGTGTAGATTTGAGTGTTTTTCTTGGAATTGATTTCTAGTTTTATTCTGTTGTGGTCTGACAAGATACATGGTATGATTCTGATTTTTTAAAATTTGTTGAGACATGTTTTGTGGCCTAAGATATGATCAATCTAGGAGAATGTCCCATGTGCTGATGAGAAGAATGTATATTCAGTAGTTTTTGAGTGGAATGTTCTATAAATGTCTGTTAGGTCCATTTGTTCTAGAGTTCTGTTTAAGTCCAGTGTTTATTTTTTTATTTTTTGCTTTGATTATCTGTCCAGTTCTGACAGTGGGGTGTTGAAGTCCCCAGCAATTAAAATGGCACTATTTATTTCTTTGCTTAGTTCTAGTAAAATTTGCTTTATGTATCTTGGAGCTCCTGTATTAGGTGCGTACATACTTAGGATTGTTATATCTTCTTTTTGAATTGCTTCCTTTACCATTATATAATGACCCTATTTCTCTTTCTTTGTCTTAGTTGATTTAAAGTCAATTTTATCTATATGAGAATGGCTACACCTGCTCTCTTTTGATTTCCATTTGCGTGGAATATTTTTTTTCCCATTCTTTCATGTTGAGTCTGTGTGAATCCTTGTGGTTTAGTTGTGTCTCCTTGAGACTGTAGACACTTGAGTTGTGTTTTTTCATCCATTTAGCCAGCCTATATCTTTTGAGTGGAGCATTCAGACTGTTAGTGTTGAGTGATAGAATTGATATGTGGCATGCAGTTCTGTTCATTGTGTTGGGTAGTACCTTATTGCTTTGTTTTCACTCTTATGATATTGTTTTATAGGAGCTGTGAACTTTAGCTTTTTGGTTGTTTTACATTTGTGAGTATCCATTGTGCTGACCCATATATAATGCAGTTCTGAGTATTTCCTATAGGGCAGGTTTGATTGTGACAAATTCCCTCAGTGTTTACTTATCTAGAAAAGACTTTATTTATCTGTCAATTATGAAACATAGTTTTGCAGGATGCAAAATTCTAGGCTGGCAGTTGTTCTGTTTAAGAAGACTGAAGATGGGGCCCCAATCCCTTCTGGCTTATAAGGTCTCCACTGAGAAGTCTGCTGTTAGCCTGATGGATTTTCCTTTGTAGGTTAGTTGTTGCTTTCATCTTGCTGCTTGTAGAATTTTCTCCTTCATTTTGACTTTGGCCAGGTTGATTAATATGTATCTTGCAGATTAACTATTAGCTATGAGTCTTCCCAGAGTTCAGTGACCATCTTATATCTGGATGCCTGAGTCTCTGGCAATACCAGGAAAGTTTTCCCCAATAATTCCTTCAAATAGATTTTCCATGCTTTTTGCTCTTTCTTATTTTCCCTCTGGGATACCTATAATTCATATATTAGTTTGCCTCACATAGTTCCATATTTCTCTAAGTGAATGCTCAATCTTCTTTATTCTTTTTTCTGCCTCTCTGAATGACTGGGTTAGCTTGAGGGCCTTGTCTTCAAGCTCTGAAATTCTTTCTTCTCCTTGGTTTATTCTGTTGTTGAAGCTTTCTGCTTTGCATTGAAATTCCATAAATGACTCTCTTTCATTTCTTTAAGTTCTATTATATCTTTTCTTATGTTGTCTAGCTCTTTAGTGTCTTCTTTATTTTTTAAATTGATTTCCTGAAATATGTTTTGGCTTCTTTTTGTTGGTTTTTAATGTTCTCTTCAATTCCATTTGTCTTATTTGCCATCCATATTCTGAATTCCATTTCTGTCATTTTGACAATTTCCTTTTGATTGAAGTCCACTACCGAAGCTCCATTGTGATCCTTTGATGGTGTTGAACTGTTTTGTTTTTTCATTTTGCCAGGGTTCTTTAGCTGGTTTCTTCCCATCTGAATCCTTTCCTTTTGGATCAGGGCTGATAAGTTTTCAGGACATCTTTTCTCCTTCACTGGGAACTCTCCTCCTTGGTAAGATGATGGGGAGGTCCCTACATGGCACATTTGTGTCCTACTCTGGAATGTTGACCTGGTAGGGGAGGGGTGGGCCTACTGAGAGTGTGCAGTGTAGCTGTTCTGTTTTTTCCTGCTCCCCTGTGGTTGTCACAGTTCAATCTGGTGCTGGATAATCTTAATGCGTGGTGGTGAGTTGTTCCCCAGATTGTTGCTGGAAGTTCTAGTTGGGGGCTGGGTGAGACCCTCTCCATGGAGGCTGGTATCATGGAGGATTGCTCTGCCCAGGGTCTCCCCATGGAGGTGACAGTGGCAGACTGGGTGAAGCTACCTAGCTAGTGATTGTGAGTGTCTGGGCTGTGGGCATTTGCTTGAAGCAGTTCCACGTGTAATGGTGGCACGAGGCTGGGGATCCCTGTTAGAGCATTGGACCTCAGGAATTTCTGTGGGCCCAGTGGCAGTGGTAAAGACTTAGGGGTGGGACCTTGGGGTTCAGACATAATGCTGGAATCTCAGGGGCAGTGTCATGGGCCCAGTGGGGTCCAGTCTCAGAGGAGGAGTCTTGGCCACAGAACCAGAACTGGGGACTGAGGAGGCAGAGCTGTGCAGGCAGGGGGCACTGTGGATGCTGAGTCATGCAGGCAGGGGTCAGTTCCAGTGGCCCAGGGGCTATGGAGGCAGGCTGGGGCCACTGGCTGGCTGGGGTCCTCCCCCCACCTAGGTCTTACTGAGGAAGTCATCCAAGGCTTCCCAGGTGGTGCCTGTGGCACCTAAGGTGCCTCCTTTGCTCAGATCCTGCACTGGGTGGTAGGGGAAGGGAATTCAGCTCCCAGTCACAGGGCACAGCATGGGGAGTGTCTGCTCTGCCTGCTCCCTCTCCAGCCTGGTGGGGGCAATGCAAAGGCCACTGCTGCAAAGCCAAGTCCCAAGCAGACCTGGTGCCATGCATCTGAGAGCTCAGCCTGGTGCCAGCTGCAGAAACCTGGGATCGGCAGTCACAAGATCCCTGCTGCACCTGTTCTCTGGCATGTTGCTGCATAGACTCTGAGCAGCTCCCCGATCTGTCCAGAGATCTGTGGTGGTGGAGAGAGCCCCCTCATAACTCAGGTCACAGTGCCTGTGGGGTGAATGTGGTGCCCCAGGGCTCTATTCTCTTGTTCTTCCCTATGTGTGGATGCACCCCCCCACAGATACTTTGATCTTGCTTAATGAATTGTCCATCACCTTCTCTTTCACTCTGGGTGTCTGGTGTTGCTTCTCTGAGGTTTTACACTTATTTTCCAAGAACAGCTGTCCATAGGTAGGCATCCACCATTTTCACAGGGCTCCAAGTTTCTCAGGGGTTGATCTCTGCCAACATCTTGCTTCTTCTTGTTCTGCTCTGCACCTTCTTCCCGTGGAGTCTCTGGTAGGTTCTGGTGCTTCCTCCTCAGAAATACACCTGAGCTATGTTTTTTTTTTCCACCTAAAACTTTTACTTATTTCTGAGACGATTTGGTGACTGATGTCTCTAGTCAGACATCTTCTACATCTGTTAATATCACCACTAATCTCATCAGTAAAGAATTTAAGTATTGGGAAGTCATCAAACTCATGATGGCAGACACAAATTTTCCAAAATCCTAATTTTTGCTGGAAAGCTCCAATGTTATTATGCTAACAAATCTTATTATTGTTGTTTATTATGATTGTTTTTCCTTGGAGTGAAAAGCTCACTTTGTTCATTTTCAAGAAAATGTCTGCCATGTAGAGACATACAAGTGTCCACAATTTAACTGTTAATTTGTTCCATGTTATTTGTTCATGGTGTTCCATGAAAAAAGTAGTTGGTTCAGCTTACAACCGCACAGGTGGTTTTTCTCAGGGCAACCAGCATTGAGATTGAATGAAACTTGGTTGGGTGATGACAGGAACATGGCCTTGAGCCAGGAGTGGGCAAGGGGCTACATATTCCTGGTTCGTCGAGGCTTCCTGTGGTGGGGGATGATGTCAAGGGTGGGTGTGGCAGGAAGGGGGATGATGGACAGGCTTGTAGGCTGCAGGGTCAGAATTAGGAATAGTGAGCTTCCTCCTGGGGATGTACCCTTCAATTTGTCCCCCTGCATCCTGCCTCTACAGGTGCCCCTGGTGGAAGGGGGTGGGGTGTTGAGATGGAAGGGGGCAGGATGATGGGGTGGAAGGGGCAGGGTGTTGAAGTGGAAGAAGGTGGGGTGTTGTTGAGTGACCTCAATCCACAGCATTTAGACTCCTGGAGCAGACCTTCCTGGGCAGGAAGTTCCCAGGTGTCAGGGACACAACCCCCAGGTCCCACAGGCACCCCCAGGTCGGCCAGGCATATTGAGGGCTGGGGATGAGGAAGGAGCTCAGGGAGTGTTGGGCAATCCCGCCCTTTCCCAAGGAGGAGGTGCTGGGCTTATTCATAGGGCGGGTCCCCAGGTGCTCTCAGCCTGGGCCTGGGCCCACCCGCGTTTCTCTCGGTGCTGTGGACGGAGCCGGCTCAGAGCCTCAGACCTCTGCCCTCCTGCCCTCCACCTTCTGTTAGGGACCCCAGGCTCTCCTCTTCTCTCTGGGGAGCCAGAGCCCAGTGCTCCCTTCTCAGGGAGGGAGTGCCCTGCAGTGGGAGGGAGAGGAAGGCCGGAGGAGGCAGCAGCTGGAGAAGGAGGGCGGGGCCTGGAGGCCAAGTCTGGAAGGGAAGGAGCTGTCACCAATGAGGGGCAGGCTGGCTGCACCCTGACCTGCTGGCCGGGACCACACAGGACCCACAGGTACCTCTGAGTTGGTGTGTGAGTGTGTTTCTTCTTCAGAAGCCCTCTCCCATCGAAGGGACTAGTGTCCATCAGATAGAGTGCTAAGATTGGGTTTCTTCTGCCCTAGAACTGGGATCCCCTCCCCCACTCCTGTATCCCCCTCACCTGGCCTGTCCTCACTGGGAATGAATTCTCCTCATTAGACCCATCCATGTGAGTTTGGATTTCTTGATTGTACCATTCCTGGATCTTACTTCCCTCATCTATAAAAATGGGGGTTAAGAATCCACATTAGAGGATTAGTGTGAGGATTAAGTAAGACTGCATGTGCAAGTGTGTACATGGGCCTTGCACGCAGTAGGTGCTGGATGAAATTGAGTTGCCAGTGTAATAGAATGAGGGTGCTGAGCACCCGTTGTGTGCCAAGGACCCCGAGAAGCCTGAGCCAGGTGCTGGTCCTCGGGAACCCCGCAGGGTGTTGGGGGAGGCAGACGGGGCACCACGTGGTCGGGGTGGGGGTGCCCCACCTGCAGAATGAGCACAGACATGTTAACAACTGCCGTGTCTCTCCCAGGGCTGCCATCCACACTCACCTGGTTGGTGTCCTGGGACCAGGTGAGGATGCTGCCGTGGCTTCTTGTCTTCTCCAGTCTGGGTCTCCAGGTCTGTTTTACCAGGTCTCCAGGTAAGTTTTCTTTTCCTGGACCAAAGAGCAACTAAGAAGTTTCATTCTAAAGTCTCATAATAGGAGACTTTAAATGCTTACTTTGTTTGGGGGAGAAAGAACAGGTTGTGTTTATAGCACAGAACTTGGAGTCTATAGACTTGGGTTCAAATCCTTGCCTTGCCTCTAGTAATGATTTTAAACAAGTGATTCAGCTCTTTAAACCTTGATTTTCCCATCTGAAAATTGAGACAAGGTTTCAACCTCTAAACTTATTGTGAGGATCAAATGGAATGGAGCACATGAAGAGCACAGCACTTTGGCAGTAAAGGCAAATAAGTGGGAGCAGTGACTGTATTTGTACCATTCTGGTGTCAATCAGAGTCTAACCTCTGACTTGGGTTTGTGTTTGTCAATAAAAGAAAGTTCCTTTGTTTTATTTTAGGGGAAAGAATGTCAGTGGACACACCCATCTCCCACTGTCCTTTGAACAGAAGTACAGACGCAGCAAGTGCCCCCAAAATCAGTCCTGAGGGAGCTGGCCTGATCCATGCAGGCAATTCTAATCCCTCCTCCACATACTCTTCCCCATTGCCTAGGGAGAATTCGCACTGGAGAGGACTTTGTGGTTTTGAAGTGACTGAATACATTTCTAGGTTATTTTTTTTTTTTTGCTAATCGTGTGTGTAGGTGCAGCTCATGAGAAAAGGATAATATTTCCTACTTCCTGCCCTTTCCTATTTAACTGTCCCCCTGGGGGATTGCCTGGAGTTGGTGTTGGAGGACGCCACGACACCTGATGCTACCTTGGAGGGGCTGGGGGATTGGGAGGCAGAGGGACGGTTCCTGGCCACAGCCTGTGCCGCTGTGATGGCGGCACTGGAGCTCTCTGAAGACTGATGCAAAATGGAATATTCCTTTGCAGGTGATTCCTCCTGGGACAAAACACAAGCTAAGCAGACATCAGAGGAGCTTCAGTACCTGTTTGGCAACATTTCCCAGCTCCTTGAAAAAGGCACACTGGGTCTCAAGGGTGAGGAGGCTTGGGGACCTGCTGGGGTTTTTCATGTGACCAGGCATATCTCTGAGGTCTATAGAGCAGCATGTGCCTGGCATGGGGTGAATGGGTTGAGGTGCAGACAGCAGCACCAGAAAACCACCTGCACAGATTCCCTAAGGTCCTTGGTATGGAGGGTGGTGCCGGGAGGGGACGGAAACCTGGGAGAGGGAGAAGCAGCCTCCACAGACGGGGATGCCCTGGCCTGAGGCTGCAGACCCGAACCCTGCTCCCAGGAGTCCTGAGACTGGGGGGCGGGAGACACAGCCCTGTTCGGGGGAGCTCCAGGCTGGGAGGGGACATAGCCCCCGGGGGAACACACGTAGCCAGAGAGGAAATGGTCGGGGAGCGCACACGGAGGGCGTGAGTGCTGAGGGGAAGCCGAGCGAGGCTGCTCAGGGCTTTCTCCAGGGATGAGCAGGTGAGACAGAGATGCCCCCTGAAGTGGGGGCCTGGGCCAGAGCAGGGGGGTCTGGAAGCTGGGGTCTGTCTGGGATGGAGGAGCAAAGCACCCAGGTTCCCCGGTTGGTGCAGCCTCTGTGTTGGGGTGAGCGTGGCTGAGATGGGGATATGGAGGTGGGCAGGGGAGGGTCACCTGCCTGCTGAAGGCTTGTTCTAGGGCTCCTCCACCGCCTCGGGGCGACACGGTGCACACTGGCTCTGCTTGTGCAACCCAGGTGGCTGGTGAGCAACCCTGGGGCAGCAGTGCTGAGTGACATCCCCACGGCTCCCCACAGATGTCTCCACAGTGGTCTCGCGCAAGGAGTGGGGGGCGGAGGCTGTGGGCTGCAGTGCTCAGCTGACCACGCCAGTGGATGTCCTTGTCATACACCACATCCCTGGGCTGGAGTGTCGCGACCTGACTGTGTGCAGTCAGAGGCTGCGCGAGCTGCGGGCCCATCACGTCCACAACAGCAGCGGGTGCGACGTGGCCTACAAGTAAGGGGCTGGGCTCGGGTCCCCAGGCTTGGGCTTCTCCTGTCCCTTCTCCTCCCTTTGCCTCGTTCTCTGGGTTGTAGATATACAAGTTTTACAGCGAATCAAATACTTAAAGCGTTCATAAAATTCCAAATCCGGTGGAATTTTCTGTGAGGTCCCCGCCTCTGAGATGTCCTCAAAGGAAGCAAGGAAGGCTGGGTGACGACCACGCTCTCTACCCCCCTCCAAACCTGACGTGCGCAGTGCGTCACAGGCCACAAACAACTTGCGCCCACACGAGGGCGTCTACTCCCCAGCAGCCCTGTGAGGGGCTGGTAGCAAGCATCACCATGCCCACGCCACAGGAGGGGGACCCAAGAGAGGGAGGCCGTCTAATTTCCTCAAAGTGGCTCAGAATGGTCTCTTCGCCCACGGTGCTCTCCTCCCCACAACGTGCATAAGCTCCGGCCTTGGCGAGCCGACCGTCCGTCCACCTGCTGCCCTAATGGTCACTCTAGCGGGCCCTATGGTTGCCTGCACCACATGACCTTGGCCCACCCCTGACTTTGGCCAGCTGTGGGCCGTTCCTGAGCGTGGTGGTCGTGTCCCTCCTTAAGAGCCAGTGCATCTCTCTGCTTTGCTGCTTCACGGCTGCCCCAGCCCCTGAGGATGAAGGGGAGGGAATGCCCGCTGCGGGCAGGGACAGTTCTACAGAGCATGCTCACAGGTTCTTGGCAGGCCACGGGGTGGGGTGGGCCCAGGGAGCTGCTGTGAGCCGGCGCACTTCCACACACTGCTGGGTTTCTCCCGTCCGGCTCACTCTCCTTGCTCCCTCACTCTGGCTTCAGGGATCCCTTCCCAAATAAGCCACCTGCATCCACATCCTGTCTCAGGCACTACTTCATGGGACACATACCTGGCAGGGCGAAATCAAATGAACAGCCTTTGTGGGGACTACACAGGCAGCATGAGCTTTGGAGGAGGGAGGAAGACCATGTTTAGGGAAGTGCAGAGGCCAACAAGAGCCTTCCATTGTGTCGCTGGGTCAGTGTTAGTGGCTGTGGAGTGTTAGTGTTAGTGGAGGTCCCAGGACCTCTTCTCCTTCTGAGTATGTAGGATGATTTATATAAAACTCTGGTGTCTGAGCAAGAGAGGGAGGTAGGGAGTATGGCAGCGGGTTCTTCTGAATTCTAACAACTAGTATAAATGACTGGTCTTTCCATTGTCTGGGAAGAGTCCGTGCAAGTTCCTTTTAGTGGACCTGGTTTGAGCCCTTCTCCCTTTTGAGGCTGGTTATGTGGTTTCCTCTCTCAGGAAACAGTGCTACAGTGCCAGCCATCCAACTCATGTTTCCTTTGTTCCACAGCTTCCTGGTTGGGGACGATGGCAGGGTGTACGAAGGTGTTGGCTGGAATGTCCAAGGTGTGCACACCCAAGGCTACAACAACATCTCCCTGGGCTTTGCCTTCTTTGGCACCAAGAAAGGTAATGGTTATCCCAGCTGACCTTCTCCAAAGAGTTCTCTACTCCTTTCTCTCAAGGTGTCTTTGAGATGTCCTTGTCTCAGGCATCACTTCATGGGAAGTAGCTGCTACTCTGCTGTGTTCTCACCCTTCTCTCCCTTCTCTGAAGATCCGTTCTCTCTCGGAATTCTCTTCTCTGTTGACTTCCATGACATGGCATTGCCATGATGGGCCTCCTCCTACCTCCTTCCCAACCTCTGCAGTAGACTCCTTTTGCTCTCGCCATCTCGTAAGTGAGGTGCTAACCACCTGTCCCTCTGCAAGCTTGTTCCCCTGCTCTCCTCTTGAAAGATCTGGGCTTCAGCCCTCACCTCCATGTCAATGACCACCACATCTCCCTTTCTAGCTCTGACCTTCCTGCAGCTGCAGGCTGTGCTTTCCAACTTCCTGCCAGGCACCTGCTCCTTCTACCTCTTATTCCTAGATTTTCTATATATTTTTAAAAAACCACTTTGAGTCCTCTAATCTCTGACTCCCTTCCACTTCCATCTGGTCTACTGTTCCAAGCCTCCACTCCCTGCATCCTAACAAAACACGCTCCAGGACCATTCCTTTGAGTTTGTGTACCCTTTTCTGCTAACAGAGATCTTGCATATCTTGTTTCTCACTTTCCCTTCCCAATACCTTTTGAAATAGCCCAGGTCGATTCTGTCATCCCTACTATACAAAGGTGTGTCTAAGCTTCAGAGAGGTCAGTGACCCAAGTGACACATCTAGAAGGAGAGGAAGCAGCACAGGAGCCCATGTAGCTCATCTCCAACTCCAGGTGGTTTCTGGCATGCCAGAGGACTCTTTGTGTTCAGATTATCTTTTTTCCCCCATGACTACTCGTTGTCAATTGTTAGCTTGGGATCTTGAGCACGTTATTTCTTGGAGTCTCAAGCTCCTCTTCATGAATAATGGGGCCAATAATAGCATCTACTTCAGAGGTTTGTGGTGAGGATTAAATGAGTTAATGCAGGTAAAGACCCTGGAACCTGCCCGGAAGGGCCCTGCTGATGGGAAACCCTGACGTGGCCAGGCGGGTCTCCTGAGTGTGGTGCTGCCTTGTGAATGAATGACGTCTTGGCAGGTATTTGGGAAAGGACTTCATCCTGAGCCATGGAGAGGTCTGTCCAGGCAGATCCTTGACTTTTAAGCTATCTCACCTGGGGGATGACCTGGTCCCCTTTCTTCCCTTCCAATAGCTATGCAGGGGCTGGCCCAGCATCTCATCCTCTCAATAGGTCCGTTGAAACTCAGGCCAGACTGAAGTTTCCCACTGATTGCTCTCTTCCAGGCCACAGCCCCAGCCCCGCTGCCCTGTCAGCCATGGAGGGCCTCATCTCCTATGCGGTCCAGAAGGGCCACCTGTCATCCAGGTACATTCAGCCACTTCTTGTGAAAGGTGAGAACTGCCTGGCCCCTTGGCAGAAGGAGAGTCTGAAGAAAGGTAAGACCTTCAGCCCTACTGGGCCTTCTCTCTCCAGACTCCCCCCGACCACTGACAGTGAAACACCATTGGGAGTGGTCTTTCCAGTGGGGCTGTCATTGGATTCCTTCTGATAGGCAATTGTCACCCAACTCTCTGTAGCTTCAGGTCTGGCAAACCTTGAGAGGGATGACCCTCCAGCTCACCTCTTTATCCCTTGATTTCTAATCTGATAGAGCCGAGGCATTATGCTTGGGGCCATATATGCATGCTCTTTTCTTCAATCACTCAACAAGTATTTACTGAACATCTACTAAACCCTGATGATATACAAAGAACAGAACACAAAAATCCCTGATCTCAGGGATTTTCAATCTAAAGGGCAGAGAAAGATAATAAACAAGTAGCATAGTCGGTATGTTATTTAATATATGGTGAAAAGTGCTATGGAGGGGGAAAAAAGCATGGAAAGGGATCATATCCATTTGTACACATATTTATGCATTCACACAATTATACACAAGCACACATTTCTGAAAGCAAAAACCAGACAACACTAATAGAACTTAAGTCACCACTTACACTGACTTTAAAGAAAGAGTTTCACATAATTCAGGTAATAAAAGGTGGATCCTGTTGGGCTTAACAAGCAGCAACACCAAAAACAGTATAAATTTGATCTCTGCCTTTGCACTGGTGCCATCTGTCCATATTCGTTGACAGAGTTTTATGGATTACAAGTGATTCTCAAAGACAGACGTTCAGAATAAAACACCCATGCCCCACTGTTGGGACACAGCGCTCCCAAGTCCTGCAGTCAGGGCCAGGATGGGTGCCCAGAGGTGGCGGGGCACTGAGGACCCAGAGGGACAAGTTGGTTTCAGTAGAGAGGTGGCCGACGTGGGTGAGCAAAACGAATCCTCCGTGGCTTTTTGCCCCACTGCAGCTTGCCCGGGTGTTGTCCCGCGCTCTGCCTGGCGGGCCAGGGAGACCCACTGCCCCAGGATGAACCTCCCGGCTAAGTACGTCGTCATCATCCACACTGCTGGGAGGACCTGCAATATCTCAGACGAATGCCGCCTGCTGGCCCGGGACATCCAGTCCTTCCAGGTGGACAGACTCAAGTTATGCGACATTGGATATAAGTAAGTGGACTTGAGCACGGTGGGCTTCTCTTCCTTTGGAGGCAGAAACTGAGCCCTTGGAATGAAGGGGAAGGGGAACTAATATTTACTGAGTACTCATCATGCCAGAGGTGTGTTACGAATAGCCACGTCAATTCCTTACACAATCCCGGGCAGGTATTACTTAGGAGATAGCTAAGGGGGTGGTCATTTCTCCTAAGCATGTTCCCAAAACATGTGTCTTTTAAAGTTAGTATATTGGCATGATGGATGCCAAGATTTTGCTAAAAAGATACGAGAGGAAGCAGCGTGTGTGCAAGATTGTGAGACCAGTAGAAAAGAATCAGAAGGTTGTGCTTTTCTCATGGACTCGCCTCCCACTGCTGGGTGGCTGGGGCTCTTCCCCTCCATGTGGCCACAGCCTCAAGCTGTTCCCTTTCGCCGTAGACTCCGGTGGCTCCTCTGATTTAGAAACTGCCACCTTCTTTGGAGAGAGTATCTTTCCTGTCTGAAAGCAGGGGGAGAGACCAGATAATACCTGTCGATTTCTCTAATGCCAAGGTCTGTGATTCTTTAATAAAGAACACACTAACCTAATGGGAGAGTAAAATTTTCTTTTTCTTTCCCTTCGTTAAGCATTATTTTAATAGATCTCGGAATTCTGTGACAGATTTTTGGTCAAGCCTTTTCTATTAGAGAGGACCCATTTTAAAAACTAACAAAACTGCCACACATACACAAAAACAAATGGTCCACAAAGCAAGTAGAAATATCTTGAAGGATGATGTCAGAGCTTGCAGATACGACATCCGGGGTTAGACGCCATCTAATGTTCCATCAGAAACAATCACACTATATTTTAAGTGTCAGGACAGCCATCAGACTAGCCCATTTGGCACATTTGTACACGTTCATGGGAGGATCACCTCACCCTAGGGGCAGCCATGGCTTAGTGGGTGGAGCTGGATTTCAGTCCCTTCTGTCCCCAAGCCAGGCACCTTTGTGCAGGAGGTAACCTGCATGGCCGTACCCAGTGGCCCCGCCCTGGATGAATTTGCCATGTCTTAGTATGTGCTACGGGGCTGACTGTCTCTCCTCTCTCTGTGCCCCTTTTAGTAGCAACCCTTCTGTGACAGGAGAAAACTTTTCCTTCCACATTTATGATTTATCAGGACTTACCAAGTGCTTTGCTAGGTTCTGCCATACAGGATTATTCACGGTGCTGCTGTGTTTAGTTAGAGTGGCTACCTGAAAATTGACTATACATCTGGAAATCCTAAACTGGAAAATGGTAGAGATTGAGGGGATGTCCTTTCCCTTTTCCCATGCAGGTTTCAGGAGACAGGTGCTTGCCCCTTGACTTTTAACCTTTTATTGTGTCCCCTTCTATCATAACTTCATGACTGTGCCATTGTCTTACCTTGAGATGGTCTGTAGTCCGGATTGAACGCTCACCTGCTGGTAAATTATAATTCGCTGGCAACGCGACAGAGCATGCACTCCGTGGGGGCACAAGGCCATGCTCCGGAATGCCACCAGCCGTAGCAAAGCTATGGTGCTTGCCTTCACGGAGCTGATGCTTTAGTGAGAGAGAAAAATAGCTAAACAAGAGGTCCCAGTAGGGCAGCTCAAGCCTTATGATGGGGGCACAGGGAGGGCAGACAGGAGGGTTAGATTGCTGGGGGATGGCGTGAAGCCCCTTCTCTTAGGAGAGGCCTAGGTTCCTTCTCACAGGACGTGAGAGAGGTTTAGCAGGATAAATACAGATGCCAGAGGGGCAGCGAGGGGTGAGGCTGGGAGGCCAGCAGAGGCCATATCACCAAGGATCTTGTCACTCAAGCTGGGGAATTTGGATTTGGTGCTGAGGACTGAAGACAGGGTTTTGACATGACAAGATTTGGATTTTAGAAAGACCAGCCTTGCTATTGCTTCTGGAATGGACTGGAAAAGGGTGAAACTGCAGGCAGTGAGGTCTGAGGACGGCGCAGGGACCCAGGCAGACGGGGTGGCACTGTGGCTAGGGCAGTAAGGGAACGGAGGGGCTGTGGGGACAGAGGAGGTCAGCGGTTGGTGGCTACGGGTGTGGGGGTAGGGGAGGAGGGCGGAGGGGGACTCCATTGCCCAGCGTGGCGAATGGGTGCTGAAGAGGGTGGGCTGATGCCCTCGCTCCCGGCTGGGACTAGCGGGCGGCTGTGGTGTTTGTTCGCCAAGACGCTCCACCAGAAAGGGGGTGGGTGGGGAAGAAGGCAGGTCCTATTGTGAACACGTGGACTTCCATGGGTGGTAACCAAAGCCAAGGGAGTGGGCAGGTTGGTCCTGAGAAGATGGGTCGAGTGAGGGGAGGAGGGGGTTCAGGTGGCAGCCTGAGGAGCCCCACATTTGAGGAAAGGGCACAGGAAGATGAGGCGCAGAGGGGTGCAGCCAGAGAGGAAGGAAGCGTGAGAGCGAGGTGTTGGGGGGCAAAGGGGAGAGAACGTCTGCAGAAGGGAAGGCAAGAGGGTTTGCAGGGTCAGAAGTGCGGAGGGCAGTCGGGTGGGGGGAAGTGCGCACTGCACTCAGCAGTGGGGGGGTCCCGGGTCACCTTGGGGGACACAGTTCCCTTAGTGGGGTGGAGGACAGGCCCAGCATCAAAGTCTGTCGTTCTCTTTGTTCTTCACTGATTGCGAGCTGCTTGTGGCAGACCGGTGTGCTGGAGCCGGAAGCACACGTCCCGGCTCATGAGAGCCGGTTGCTAGGGATCCAGGAATTTTGAGAGCCAGTTGTTAAACGGCTGAAATCAGCCGTGGGAGTATTATGGTGTAGAAATCAGCAAACTCTGCAAACAGGGATCCGTCTCCCCACCTGTCTCCTGGGTTTCCCCGAGGCTGGCTTGCCAGCACCCCACTGTGAGGACTCTGCCTTATATGTCTCTGTCACTCAATGCTTAGAACTTCCAGACAACCAAGTCTGACCAGCAGGGATGCGGATGAATTAATGAATGAGAGAGAGAACCGTTCCCGGGGTGCCTATCATGCTGGTCTCTGTCTCCCTCTAGCTTCCTTGTGGGCCAGGATGGCGTCATTTATGAAGGGGTGGGCTGGAATGGCCAGGGCTCCCACACCCCTGGCTACGATGACATCGCCCTGGCCATAGCCTTCATGGGAACCTTCACAGGTAAGCGGATGCTGTGGGCAGTCACGTCATTGCAGGGCATTTGAGGGAGGCGTCTGACTTGGAGGACGGAGTCCCAGGCTCAGGCATCATCTTAGTGCCTGCGTGTGCTGGACTGACCCAGCTTCAAATCTGACATTTGGCTCAGCTGAGCGTGACCAGAGGTGACCCGCAGGCAGAATGCTCCCCCTACATCTCTCCTTCACACCCAGCCAAATGTCTCTCTCTTCCAATACCTCAGGAACATGTGAAGCAAGGGGAAGAGACCTTGGTACATACTTTTTTGTTCATCTTAGTCGGCAGATGCATCCCTTCCTGGTTACAGCAGGAATGTGGGGACACCTTGTCTTATATGCCAAAGCCACACTGAGCCATGGTCTCTGCTTTGAGAGTGCACACCGTGGATTGCCATGGCCCAGAGCTCTTGACCAGAGTTTGTTTAGACTCCTGGCAGAGCCTCTGGAAGGAGGAGGCCATGCCGCTGGGGCTGGCTCAGGCTGATGTTGCAATGGGCATCGGGCGGGGTGGGTGGTGAGCCTGGGACGGTGCCTGCAGATGGGGCTGAGCATTGGGCTGGGCTGCAAAGGGTACAGGCGACACATCTGTGGCTAGAGTAAGGCTTCTCAACCTCAGAAGGATTGACATTTTGACCCAGATAACTCTTCGTTGGGGGGCCATCCTGTCCTAGGGTGTTTGGCAGTATCCTTGGCTTTTACCAACCATAGGACAATGGCATCCCCCTGTCCCCCAGTTTTGACAGCCAAAAAGGTATCCAGACATTGTCAAATGTCCTCCAGGGGACCAAATTGCCTACCAGGCTAAACTTTGCAGTGGATAAAGGCTCTGTATACTCCCAGAAGAACTGTATGGATCATTCCAGGCTCAGCCCTTTTGATTCAGGAAAATGTTGGCACTGAGGAATCTGAAGTTTTGGCCTGGTTTTCTGTCTGTCTGTAGGGCGGAATGTACTGGTTTTGGGGGTGGGGTGGGGTGGGGTCTGGGCGTGTGTCCTAGGCAGGGTGCCCTGGAAAACCGGGCAATGGGCCGGCTGTGTTTTGCAGGTACCCCGCCCAATGCTGCAGCGCTGGAGGCAGCCCAGGACCTGATCCAGTGTGCCGTGGTCAACGGGTACCTGACTCCCAACTACCTGCTGGTGGGCCACAGTGATGTGACCAACACCCTGTCCCCTGGGCAGGCTCTGTACAACATCATCAAAACCTGGCCTCATTTCAAACAGTGAGGGAGGCCCCGGCTCCTTCCCAGACTGCTCTCCCTGCCTGCCGGGTCTCCTGTCCTCACCACACGCCTGGCTCCACACCTGTGGCCACCCCCCCCCCAGCCCAGCCCGTCCCCCTCCCTCAGATTAGAATGACCGTGTCCTCTCCTGCTACATCCTCCAGGGCCCCCCCAAGCCTGTGGCTGGGCAAACACAGCCCTCTGAGTCTGAGCTCAGCCATCCTCTCCCCTCCTTCCTCCCCCAGCACCCACCTCCTCAGCCAGGTGAGAAGACAGCCCGTCCTGTCATATTCTCTCTGCCCCTACACGTGCCCTCTGCCTGGGGGCCTCCCCTGCTGTCTGTGTGGCAGCCCCCCACTCACCCAGGCCCAGGTCGCTGTCCCTGCCCCTCCTCTCTGCTCACACATGGACTCGTGTGTTTGGAGGCAGCCCTTATTTAAGAGCTGTGATTGTTTACAGATTTGTCTATCCTCTCTACTGGGTGGGGAGTTTCTCCAGGGGAGGAGCTGTGCTTTATTCAACTGTGTCCTCAGTGCCTCAGCAGTGTCTGAATTTAATAGATGCTACAGACGCTTGTTAAGGAAGTGGATGAGTAAATGAATGAGTGGTCACCTTGCCAATTTGCTCCTCTTTGGGGAGCCTTCCTGGACCTCTATCCCACCAGTTTTCTCTCCGTTCAAGGCTCAGAGCTGGCTCTGGTCACTTGTCTGTGTCTCTAGTTGCCCGCATCCCTGTCCCCCCAGGGCACCCGGAGGGCAGGGATCATGTGCCCCTCCAGGACCTGGCCAGGGCTGTGTCCCCAGGAGCTGCCAGTGCCTGCTGCCTGCCCTTGCCTGGCCAGGCCCTGCTGGGCAAGGACCCAGAGCCTGGGTGCTCTGCAGCCCTCCCTGCCTGGGCCCTTCATCTCCTTGCTGGGGGCACTTGAAGGGTTCTTTGTTTCCTCTGAGACTTGGTCTGGCAAAAAGAAGAGAAGTGTAAGAGGAAAACAGGAGAGAGAAATAAAAGAAACAAAATAACTGGCTTGTTTTGTTAAAAATTTTTTTAGGTCTTCATATGTTGTCTTGTTTTTAGTGTGTTTCTGTAGCTCTTATAATAACAGAAATAAAAGTAAGCATCCTCTGTTTTTAAAGCAAGTACATTGTGCTACTCAAAGTGCATAATGACCTCACTGGACCTCAGTGTCCCTGCCGGCCATTTTCCCTCAGGCCATCGGTGTCAAGGAGTGTGGGACGTATCCTCCTGTCTTCCAAGGGGCAGCCCAGCCCAGACAGACTCTGAGTCTCTTGTCGCACCCAACAGGGGGAAGTGGGTCCAGGAGGGCACCTTCCCAGTGCTCAGGGGTGCGGACATTCCTGATCTGCTCTCCTCTGTGTGGAAGGATGTGGGCAGGAAGCGGACAAAAGGGAGAGTCTGAGGTCTCCTAATAGGAAACATGGAACAGGAGGTGTTCAGATTTATGAGACTGTCCTTACAGGCTTTCCTGCAGCAAAAGGTCTCCACATTTCTGGTTCCATGACCCAAGGTCTTCCCCTAGTCTTGTTTGGGAGGAGATTTAGCCTTCCTCCTCTCCTCAGCCATCTCTATCTGTCTAAGATTTTCCACAGGCCACTAGGAAAAAGAATTCTTGGTGTGAATTATTGACATTTTCCCAAATTCATGCTTAATATTTTAAAAATTATTCTTTTGTATACCATCTAAGTACAATCAGAGTGCTTGCTAGATGAATTCAGCTTCAGGATCACTTTCCAGAGAGGCCCTCCAAACAGATTACCTCCTCTACACCCTTAATGTAAAGAAATTATTATCTGGACTCTTAGATTACCCCTGAACATTTGCACTGGGGATAATATTAATAGTGATACAGTCATACTTTGGAGATATTGCAGGTTTGGATCCAGACCACCACGATAAAGCGGATATCATAGTAAAGCGAGTCACACAAATTTTTTTCTCAGTGGATATAAGTGTTATTTTTACACTATACCATAGTCTGTTAAGTGTGCAATACCATTATATTTAAATATACAATATATTTAAATACATTTAAGTAAATATGTTAAAAAACCAATGTATATGCCTTAATGAAAAGATACCTTTATAGCTAAAAGGTGCTAATGGTCATCTGAGCCTTCAGTGAGTCACAATCTTTGCTGGTGGAGGGTCTCGCCTCGATGTTGAAGGCAGCTGACTGATCAGGCTGGTGGTTGCTAAAGGTTAGGTTGTGCTATAGTTTGATTTGTATATGCCCTCCAAGTCTCATGTTGAAATTTGAGCCCCAGTTTTGAAGATGGGGCTTAATGGGAGGCGTTTGGGTCATAGGGGCAGATCCCTCATGAATGGCTTGGTGCTGTCCTCGAGGTAATGAGTGAGTTTTTGCTCTATCAGTTCCTGAGAGAGCTGGCTGTTAAAGAGAGCCTTGTGCCTTCCTTTCCTTCTCTTTTGCCTCCCCTCTGGCCATGTGATCTCTGCACACCCCAGACCCCAGCCCCATCCGTCATAAGTAGAAGGAAATTTTATGCTGCTGCTACCATGTTCTGCTATGCTTTTTTTGTTGTTGAATGTGTGTTTTTGTCAGAAACAATGCTGATGGGACACCATGATAGTGCATAAGGCATTCTGGGAGTCCACAGGCAGCGGTGGTGCTAGCAGGAGCATTGCATGCAGGGCCTGCTCATGCCTCTCAGGTGTCTGTTCTGGAGAGGACACATTGCTGCCCTGTCCTCAATGGAAATAGTCCAAGGTCATCAATTTGTTCCTGAGTAGGGCTGGATCTCCCAGGAAATAGTGCCAATTGGGAATACTTCATTAGCCTCTGTTATTGGCAGGGTGGACTTTCAACAGTAGCGGTAGCCAGACTGGCTTTGTGAGGGGAAGTACAGTGTCGCTGAGCACACGGATGGCCTTGGCCTCTGCCACATGGCTGAGGCCATGCATCCCTTGAGCAAGGCTCCAGTGGCCAGGGAAACAGGCTGAAATCACTTATTGAGTCCTTTCTGTTTGCACAGAGTCTGTGAGAGTTCACGAATCTTCACAACACTTCTGTGCAGTAGGTATTATCATGTGAATTACATGCAGGTTGGATCACCTTTGCCTGTCTTCTACATTTGCTCTAATTTGTTACTTTTTCTCTAATCACTTTTTTCACTACAGAAAAAAAACCATTTTTTTTTGTTGTGGTAAAATACATATAACATAAAGTTTACCATCTTAACCACTTTTAAGTGTGCAGTTCAGAAATAATAAGTACATTTATATTGTATACAATCTCTCTCTAATCTTTTTAATTGCTTTTTCTTTTCCTATTCCCATTTCCTTGGACTTCTTTTGTTTCTTTTCTCTCCACCCCTGATCACCAGATCATTTTGTGTGTGTGCGTGTGGCATCTGCTCCCTGTGTACTCCTTGTAATTTAGTCTTTATTTCTGCGATCATTTCTGTCATTTCTCTTTCAGATACTCCTACTGTCTAGTTAAATTCTTCTTTTACTTCTGTTTTATGATGTTCTTTTGTAGATATACAATTAAGAAAACTACTTTGGCATTTTTTCCCCTCTGCCTATGGTAATGTTCTTTTCTGATGACTTTTCTTTTTTTTGGTAATAAAATATGATTTTATGCTTTATTTTGAAATGGAGACTTTGTTTAGATGTGACCGTTTTACCCTTTTATTATTCCTATTTGAGTGAGTTGGATTTTCCTGGTCCAGCTGCTACAGGAGCATCCTGTGGCTGTCATGGCTGGAGGTGGGAGAGGGTTAATGTAGATTCTCCTGTTTCTTAGCTCATGGGCTCCTTCTTCTGTTGCCGTTTAATGGGTAGTTTATCGAATATATTGTGACACTCCCTTTGTCCTCCTTGTACTCCCCAGTCCTTTCCCATCTGCCTCCATCATTTCTCACACCTGGTCCTGTTCATTCTCACAGGACACAGCAACTCCCACCCTGGGTGGCCTTCACATTCTGGCGATGGACACCTGCTGCCATTTTCCAAGCTCTGCAATTCATGGCCTCTTGTCCCACCTGGATTTTCCCACGGCATTGACCATGCCTCCGTCTCACCATTCACGGTTATGGCCTTCGGTGTCGGTTTTGCTGATTGTCTCTTCCCCTCCCCACACTTACTTTTAGAATTAGAAGTTGGTGGAGTTTTTGGTCTTCTTAAATTATATACATTTACACGTACAACATGATGTTTTGATATATGTACACAATATGAAATCGTTAAATCATGCTAGTTAACATATCTATCATCTCACATACTTATTTTCTTTTGTGGTGAGAATATATAAGATCTACTGTTTTAGCAATTTTCAAGTTTACAATATATTATTATTATTATTACCTATATTTACCTTGCTGTGCAATGGATCTCCTGAACTTATTCATATGTGTAACTGAAACTGAGATTTTTTTCATTTGCTAACTTTGCTGAAGGTGTAGGGTTTTAAAGAAATTCCTTCTCCTTGGACCTTTGTGTGGTTATGAGGAAGATACGTAGGAAGAGTTCATTCTAAGCTACTGATATGCTCCTATATGGCTAGGGGACTATCTGGTTATCTTAGATACTGTATTCATTTTCTACTGCTGCATGACAAATTACACAAACTTAGTGGCTTAAAACAACACACATTGATTATTCCATAGTTTCCATGGGTCAGAAATCTGGGCATGGCATATGTGGGTCCTCTGCTAAAGTCCTCACAGGGCTAAGTCAAGGTTGGCAGGGCTGCGTTCTCATCTGGAAGCTTGACTGGGGGAGAACATGCTCCCAAGCTCATTCAGTTTGTTGGAAGCATTCACTTCCTTGTGGCTGTGAGTGAGGTTCCTGTTTTCTCGCTAGCTATTGACCTGGAACCACTCTCAGCTTCCAGAGGCCTCCCTCAGATCCTTGTCCTGGGTCCCCCTTCATAAGCTCTCTCACAACATCCAAGGCTACTTTTTCAAGCAGAAGTATCTCTTTCTTTTCAGAAAATAAGGCAATTAACATGTTATTATATCTCGGTGACTTTGAGTTCCTAATTGTTGTGATTAACACTTCAAAGTGCTATTTTATATTTAATAATCTTATTTCCATAATTTATGCAGTGACTGTTTATCATAATTATTTTTATTGAGAAATAAATGACATATTAGCTACAATTTTTACCTGTGGAAGGAATACTTTTTCTAATTCTTATGTATTAATAAATACCATACGGGCTAGCAGTGGCCTTGCCTCAGATTTTCTACTAGTTAATCCCTGGGTGTCCTTCATTCTTTAGTCAGGGAATGCAGGGCTCTACCTACTTACCGTTCCTTTCTTGGCCAACCCCCCGCCCCTTATTACTTGTATTTCTTCTCTTCTAAGTCTGGACTTGAGAGTGAGACATCCTCCTCAGATCTTCCTAGCTTGCTGTTCCAAAGATGAGCTCACAAACCATTCTCCTTTTGAGAGTTTAGCTACTAATCATGATGGCAAAGCATCTAGTCATAAATAAAAATTTCAGACCTGAGGATATTGCGAAGGTTTAGGAAAACTCATAAGGTTGTATCTGTCCTTGTCACCAACTATAACTCCTGATCCCATTGCCCAATTCCTCTGTCAGAGGCCTTTGCCCAGGACTCCCCCCCCCCCTCCATGGAGGGTGGAGCTCACTAAACATGTCTCCTTCAGATGCTAACAGACATACAAGGCTCCAGCTTCTAGGAGAGATCTTCCCAACTTTTGTCCCTGAAGTGTGGTTTGGGCTGATCAGTGTGCAGAACATAGCAGCTATACAAGTAGCCTCTCAGGAGGGCAGAATGATTTTCAGGACCTCTGGTCTGAGCATTCTCACTTCAAGGGGCTAAAACTCAGATACCTTGGGCAGAGCATCACTGGAAATTCTTATGGATTTAATATAAACCTCTTCAGAGAAGGCACAGGGATTCTGGGAGACCAGAGTTGAAGACTGAGGGCCACTGTCAGGAGGGGTGAGGAGGTGGAGAGCTTGGTTTGTTTCAGGGAAACAATGTGATGCTGAGGTGGGGTGCTGGGTGAGTGGGTATGCTGGCTGCAGGGGCAGAATAAGTTCTAGTGATGACACAATGTTAGCTACCTCCTGGGGATGCACCCTCCAATTTCTCCTTCTGTATCCTGCCCCTGCTGGCAACCCTGGCGGAAGGGGGTGGGGCATTGTGTTGGAAGGGGCAGGGCATTGGGGTGGAAGGGGGTGGGGAGTTGGTGAGTGACCTCAATCCACAGACTCCTGGAGCAGACCTTCCTGAGCGGGGAAGTTCCAAGGTGTCAGGGACACAACCCCCAGGTCCCACAGGCACCCCCAGGTCGGCCAGGCATATTGAGGGCTGGGGATGAGGAAGGAGCTCAGTGAGTGTTGGGCAATCCTGCCCTTTCCCAGGGAGGAGGTGTTGGGCTTATTCATAGGGCGGGTCCCCAGGTGCTCTCAGCCTGGGCCTGGGCCCACCCGCGTTTCTCTCGGTGCTGTGGACGCAGCCGGCTCAGAGCCTCAGACCTCTGCCCTCCTGCCCTCCACCTTCTGTTAGGGACCCCAGGCTCTCCTCTTCTCTCTGGGGAGCCAGAGCCCAGTGCTCCCTTCTCAGGGAGGGAGTGCCCTGCAGTGGGAGGGAGAGGAAGGCCGGAGGAGGCAGCAGCTGCAGGAGGGCAGGGCCTGGAGGCCAAGTCTGGAAGGGAAGGAGCTGTCGCCAATGAGGGGCAGGCTGGCTGCACCCTGACCTGCTGGCTGAGACCACACAGGACCCACAGGTACCTCTGAGTTGGTGTGTGAGTGTGTTTCTTCTTCAGAAGCCCTCTCCCATCGAAGGGACTGGTCTCTATCAGGTTAAAATGTGTATATGGTGGAGAAAGTTCTCCTGATTTCCCCTCTTGAACTCTTCCTCCAAGTAAGAAAATTTTTTCTATTCTAAATTCTTCGAAATAAGTTTGGTTATTCCACTCCCAGATCTTTCTTGGCAAGGCTGTGGTTTCTGGGGTTATCTCTACATGGTTTATTCCCTGAATCCCTATTTATTATGTCTCACTTGTCTCCTGCTCTAATATTTCTGTAGGTATAGAGGACACACAGCAATCTGAGACAGGGTAGCAAGACCTTGGCCCCAGCCTCTCCTGGCAGGGTAGCAAGGCCTTGGCCCCAGCCTCTCCTGGCAGCTCAGTGTCTGCAGTTCAAGGTGAGAGTGGGAGACACCAGCAGCTCTGCCTCTGGTGAGCTCAGGGGCTGGGTTCAAGCCTTCAACTTTAGGTGTATAATGTGACAAGGTTGGGGCAGGATTTGCTACATAGACATTTATGTGGTTGGGTGACCACCATGATTAAGTGATCGGGGTCCAAACCTCCTGTTGCCCAGGATTGATAAGGGCTTCCAGTAGCTTTGAAGGAGGCCAACTCCTTTTCTGGGTGGCCAGCCCACAGGTCTTCAATCTTGGGCAAGTTAATCCTTACCTCTCATTTGGCTAACAAAGGAGGCTGAACACCTTCCCACATACTTATTAGGTGCCTACCTCATTTGTGCTGTGTTCATTTTGTCTTCAATGGACAGTTTTCCTGAATGTATGAAATCCTGGGTGTTATTTGCTAAGTGGTTATTTGTCCTGATCCAGGAAGCTTCTCTATGTTCAAGTCTTAAGCTGTGTTTTTGAAAATTTTCCATCTGGAGACTACTGATTGTAGTATAAAAACCCTAGAGGGCAATGATCTATCCCATTTGCTCTCAAACCTCCCTCTATAGTTTCTAAATATTAATAGGATAATTGGGAGAAAAGTTGGTGTTTTGGGTTGGCAGCTCAGGGAGTTGATATTTCATTTTTATCCAGCATGAGTAAGCAATTCATTTCTGCCTGACAGAGCAGAAAAGATTCTTGTAGCTGGAAAGCAGGATGGTGATCCTGTAGCTTAACCTCTTGGGCCCACATGGAGAGTCTCCACTACAAAAGAAACCCCAGCAGGTCTCGAACTTCCAGGCAGAGGCCCTGGAGTCAGACAGACCTGGGTATGAATCTGGCTCTTTTGCTACCAGTTGGGAAACTTTGGTACCAAACCTGGTACCAATAGGTGCTTAAGACATGTATATTAGCTCAAAAACATGACATCTTGATGTGTGACCCTCTGATGGGTACCCATGGATGTATTAATAGGTCTGCGGGTGAACCACGATTAGGCGGCAGGTGAGACTGCAGAGCTCCTGGAATGGAGGGAGGAGGGGTGCGGGAGGATGAAGGCCTCTTTGGGGCAGATGTGGGAGGCAGAGGCAGGTTGAGGCCAGAGAGTCTGTGGTTCTCCTCTGTGTGCTTCTTAGAGGACACAGTGACTTAAGTTCTCTGAGGTCCAGTTTCCTGATAAGCATGGGTCTAATAGGGCATTGTGAGATCGTTTCATGAAATATCCATGGAGTCCTCAGCAAATGCGTGGAACATAAAACACGATCAGTTAAGTGGTAACTGTTGTTGTTACTATTATTCTCACTCAGGGCTGACTGAGCATCCCTCAGGGATCTTTGCAGGGGAAGGGACTGAGTCGGATGACTTTACGGTGACTCTCACATAGTGTAGGGAATGAAGCCCAGACCTACCTCTGTTTTGTAGTTCCCTCCACCTGAGCCTCAGTGTTCTTATCTATAAAAATGGGGTTCAGAATATTTATCTTATGTGAATTCTGTAAGGAATAAGATTGCAGCACCAGATATGAAAATATCTGCATCGGGTTTATTCATAAAAGCTACTCATGGATTTTAGAAGTTGTTATTCTCTACTGTGGAGGGCCCATGATTAGGTACAGAGCTGTTATGAAGAAGCAGGGCAGTAGGAGTTGGGTAGGGAGTGGGGTGGTCAGACATAGGCATTAGCGTCCTCACATTGACTGAGCACCTGATGTTCTCAGGTGAGGAGACACCTGAGCAGGTGCTGGCCCTCAGGAGGCCACAGGGTGGCGGGGGAGGCACAGGGAGGCACCGTGAGCAGGTGGGTGCTCTGTCTGCAGAGTGAGCTAGGCTGTGCTAACTGTCGGTGTCCCTCCCAGGGCTGCCGTCCACACTCTCCTGGTCGGAGCCCGGGACCATGTGAGGATGCTGCCGTGGCTTCTTGTCTTCTCTGCTCTGAGTTACCAGGCGTGGGGTAAGTGCACTTTCACTGTGTCAGAAGAGCTTATGGTGAGCAGCACATGACTGTTCTCAAGTTGAATAACAGAGATCAGCCCAGGGCTTTCCCTTTTCTACAGGATAGTGCAGCTTTGCAATTTGGGGCACTGCTGTGGAGTGCAAATGTCCTTTCAAATTCTTGCCTGCCATTCTTTGTGATCCTCAGCAAGCTATTCAATTTCTTCGAGTCTTATCTGCTTCCATGATATAAGGATAATATTGCTCATTCCCTAGAGTTGTTTTTGAGGATCAAAGTAGATAACAAGTGTGAGCCATTTAGCACAATGCTCAACTAGTCAGTGCTAGATGTGATTTAATTGTAATCACCATCATTATTATACCAATCATAATGAGTTTAATCATAGTCAAACTCAGCACTTGGGTCTATGTTTGTAAATAAAAGCAATTTCTTGAGAGTGGCAAGGCCTTTTTTCTACCTTAGGAAGATCTCTTACAGTTTTATACATAGGATTAGACACAGCAAATGTTTAATAAATAAATGCTGTTGAATTAAAATGGAAATGAATTTGGCGATTCTTAAATACTGGACATGTTTTTCATGTTGTGTTACATGCATAGACACTGTTCTGAAGGAATGAGGTAATATAGCCCTCTCTCTGCCCTCTGCTACTTAGACAGCTAATTTAAAGGGGTTACTTGGAGTTAGTGTTGGAGAAACTCACAGACCAGGGAAAACACAGTTCAGCCCTTCATTTTATGAATGGAGAAACTGAGGCCCTAGGGGAGGCAACTTGCCCAAGTGAGGCAGTGAGTTGCACCGGACCATCACCCGGGTCTCCTGGTTCCTGCCCTGCCCTGTCCTGTCCAGTTGGTGTTGGCTCTGGCCTGATGGCTGTTCTTCCACTCTGAGGGTCCTGTGGGCTTCATTTGTAAATCGTGCTGCAGGGCATCCCTCCCCCTCCCCAGCCCTATGTCTCCCCTTCACAGCCCGGTTCAGGTCCCCTCCCCCATGGAGATACGCTCCGCTCCCGTACTTGGCATTCTCTCCTGCTGCCTGGCAGACCTCTGCTTCAGCATTCTGGTCATGCATTTGCTCTTGATTTCGCAGAAGGACAGAAGCCCAGAACCATGTTGGAGACCCTAAGTGACTTTGAAATAGCCCGAATGTGGCAGTGACTTGTGCTAGTTCATCTGACACTTGCGGGTGGTTATGACCGTGGGCTCTGGGGTCAGAGGGTCTGGTTGGAATCCAGGTCTACTGCTTAACACCTGCATTGTGTGAGACAAGTCACTCAGGCTCTCTGAGCCCCAGTTCCCCATCTGTGTACGGGGACGAGTTGCTTTGCTTTTCTCATGAAGCTGTTTTAAGCCACGATTCTGATAGCGTCCTTGAACACGCTCTGTAAATCACAGCACTGGCCCGTGTCAGGGGAGCTGGTGACAGGGCTGCTGCTACTGCTGCTGGTCACTGCTCCCAGGCCCTTTGTTACTGACCAGTAGCAGCAAGGATTAGGCTGGTGATGCCTCATGCTTGATACAGCCTCTCTAAAATATCTAGTTTTTTGGCTGGGCGTGGTGGCTCACGCCTGTAATCCTAGCACTCTGGGAGGCCGAGGCGGGCAGATTGCTCGAGGTCAGGAGTTCGAAACCAGCCTGAGCAAGAGCGAGACCCCATCTCTACTATAAATAGAAAGAAATTAATTGGCCAACTAATATATATATAGAAAAACTTAGCCGGGCATGGTGGCGCATGCCTGTAGTCCCAGCTACTTGGGAGGCTGAGGCAGGAGGATCCCTTGAGCTCAGGAGTTTGAGGTTGCTGTGAGCTAGGCTGATGCCATGGCACTCATTCTAGCCTGGGCAACAAAGCAAGACTCTGTCTCAAAAAAAATAAAATAAAATAAAATAAAATAGTTTTTGAGGGCCGTCACAGTGATCTGTATATTTCTGTTTCAAGAACCTTGCCTGATACCAATAGGTGATTAAGACATGTGTGTTAGCTTGAAAAAAATGACGTCTTGGTGTGTGACCCTCTGATGGGTACCCATGGATGTATTAATAGGTCTGCGGGTGGACCACGATTAGCCAGCAGGGGAGACTGCAGAGCTCCTGGAATGGAGGGAGGAGGGGTGCGGGAGGATGAAGGCCTCTTTGGGGCAGATGTGGGAGGCGGAGGCAGGTCGAGGCCCGGCACGCCTGTGGTTCTCCTCTGAGTGCTTCCTAGAGGACATGAGGGAGCTGGGGGGCTGAGAGGCTGTGGATTTTGGGGTGCGGGGGGCTGTCTGGCCCATGCCTCTGAGCGCGCTGGCCAGCGTGCTCTGGGGACCACACCGCTGCTCCTTTGCAGGGGATTTTCCACAGTTCTCCTGGAATGAAACCCAAGCCAGAGGCCTCTCCGAGAGGCTCATGGACCTGTTTGTCAGCATCTCGCAGCTCATTCACAAGGGTCGCATCGGTGAGGCAGTTCGGGGATCCGCTGGGGTTTCTTAAGTGGCCAGAAATGTTTGTCAGGGCTTGTTTATGTCTGGGCTGAGAGTGAATGGGAGGGTGGAACCCCAAGAGGGTCCTCTGCCAGCTACTGTCCCGAGTTCTTAGGCAAACGAACCCACTTTTGCCTAAGGACAGAAAAAGAAGAAGAGAAAACCCAGGCGAAGGAAGAGAGAAGGAGAGAAAACCCAGGGAGAAAAGCCATGTCCCCCTTCCCCGCCCCCAGTATGAGAGGGAGACAGCCTAGCCCTCCAGGACAGAGAAAGGGGGCCTTCAGGGGGCCTGCAGTCCCGTGCGGGGGTCTCACAGCCCTGCCCCTAGTGAGTTTTCTTCTGGAGAAGAGAGACTGACACCCCGTGTTCTTGGAACTTCCTGTGGGCTCTGGAGCTGCCAGTTGAGGAGACCGACAGCTTCCTTCAGAGAGTTGGGGTTCTGAGGGGGGACCAGGGACAAATGCCAGTGAGGAAAATATGCCCTAAGGCATCCATGCTAAGGCGCCTCGAGGGAAGGGAGCTCAGAGCCCTGGGCTTGGGTGTAGGGTGTCAACTGGGCATGTTTCCGAAGGAGGGGAGGCTGAGGCAGGCCAGAGAGGAGCTAGGGACTGGATTGTCCTCTGGGGAAATCCAAGGAGAGCTGTCTGGGGGCGAGATCATCTGGGAACGCGGTAGAGGCAGCGCCACTCCGCTGCTGAGTGCAGAGTCCGCCTGGTGGCTGTTCGGTCAGCGGGAACACGGGGATGAGGGGCTGTGGAGGTGAAGGGCTCCTGGGGTGTCCTGTCGTCGTGGCGGGCGGCAGGGCTGGGGGAGGGGCCATGGGTAGAACCTGCTGCGTGTCCCCCGCGTCTCCCCTGCAGATGCTCCCACCGTCGTCTCCCGCAAGGCGTGGGGGGCCGGGCCGCTCACCTGCGGGGCCCCGCTGACCCCGCCAGTGACCTACGTCATCACGGACCAGCTCCCGGGGCTGGAGTGCCAGGAGCAGGGCGTTTGCAGCGAGGCGCTGCGGGGCCTGCAGTCCAGTTCTGTCTACACCAGAGGCTGGTGCGACGTGGCCTACAAGTAAGAGGCTGGTGGGGTCCCGAAGCCCACGTCAGAGTCACCCCTCTCGAGGTGCTTCCCACTCCTCCTTCTCTGTTTCTCGTATTTCCTGGGCTTCATTTATGTTGCTTTTATAATGAATAAAACATGATAAGAAGGAAATCAAACAAAATCCCAAATCCTCTGGGGGTCATTAGGAGGGAGAACTCTGAGCCCGTCATTGAAGTGGTCCTTGACCCTGGGCGCTGCCATGGCGATGGAAGGTTGTGTCATCACGGGGGTTACCCCCTTAGAACTTACCAGACACCACAGTTTACACAGGCTTTCACAAATATTACCCAGTTAGGACCTCCCAGCTACTCCGAGGAATAGGTTGGAGAAATATTCCCACCCTTATCTCACCGGGGAGAAAGCCACGGTCCAGGGAAATTAAGGAGTTTGCTCACAGTCACAGGGCTAGGCGGCGTGGACTGAACTGTGTCAGGACCGCCGGCAGCGCATCCCTCCCTGGCTCCTGTTCCCCACACAGATGATGCTTGCATTTTGTGCAAGTTTCCCGCCTGTTACCCTGAAGGGCCACCCTGCTAGGGAGGCCCTAAGGTCTTCGAGAGTCACACATTCAAATTGCACTTTGAACCAAATGAGAATTTTTAAAGTGAGGTTCTGGAAGACACATGTAAGCTAAGTCACAACAAAATTTAAAGTATACTTCCATGTCTTTTGGAAGTCTAAAACTGGTCATTCTGCCCCTTCCATTGTTATGTTACTGTAGCATGGATTACTGTAGCATAAATAGTACTTATTTATGAGTCTCTAGAACCCTTTCTTCCTTTTGAGGATAATTGAGAGGATTTCTGTGAAGGGCATTTGCCATTAAACCCATATTTCCTTGCTTGGCAGCTTCCTGGTCGGGGACGATGGCAGGGTATACGAAGGTGTTGGCTGGGACATCCAAGGCTTGCACACCCCGGGCTACAACAACATCTCCCTGGGCATTGCCTTCTTTGGCAATAAGATAGGTAACGGTCATTCCTTGATGACCCTTTGCCTCTCTTCCTAGTGTACACTCTCTTCCTAGTCTCAACACTCTTATCTTTTCAGCCTACATCATACTTGTCTCCTCTGATGATCACCCCTTCCTTGAAGATCTTATCTCCCTTGGATTCTATGACATGCGTACTTTTTGTCCTCTTCCTCTTCATTGGTCTGCACTCCCGTGGTATTGCTGAAGCCCCCATGGACATTGCTTGAGCTCAGAGTTATTGCCATCACTTCTGGAGTCTGAAGCTGTCTGACACTGGTGCTGTGGCTGCCAGAGGTAGAAAAGCGTGGCTTGTCTCTTCTTCCAGTGTCTTTCCTTGGCGGAAATCTGGCAGATAGAATGTGCAGGCTTCTAGCCCCTGGAAAAACAGGAGAGCACAGAGCAGGGATGGAGTTGAGAGATAATAGATGAATAACTAGCACCTGCTAGTTTCCTCACCTGACAGTTGGCACTAGTGATAACATTTATCTCAGAGGTCACCTTTTCCCCCAAGCTAGGGTGTGCCTGACTTTTCAGGGGGGCATCCCTCTGCATGTATCTTTTTCTGCTTTCCAGCCCTTCCACCTACACATGGAATGGATAGATAAAGTCTAAGTTGGACAATTGGAGGAGGTTGCCAACTATGGCTGCCAACAGCTCTGTCCAAGTAGTTTATTCTCTCTTAGGCCCTCTGTCCTGGCTACTGGACCAGTTTCCTCCCTCCCTATCCACCAGTTATTCAGGCCCAGGTGGTCAAATCATCCTCCCACCAGGTGTCTAGTCCAGGTTGGAGTTTCTTACTGACGGATGTGTGCTCCATGTCATCCTCCTTAAGGCAGCAGTCCCAGCCCTGCTGCCTTATCAGCTGCAGAGGGTCTGATCTCCTATGCCATCCAGAAGGGTCACCTGTCACCCAGGTATCTTCAGCCACTTCTCCTGAAAGAAAAGATCTGCTTGGACCCTCAACATGCAGTGACACCCAGGAAAGGTAAGGCCCTCAATCCCACCTGTCCCTTCTCCTTGTCACCACCCCCAATCACATTTGGGAGCGCTCTTTTCTGTTGGGCTCTCATTGGACTCTTGTACCAAGAAGATCTCATACCTATCATAACTTTTTAAAAAAAATAAAATATACTAAATTGGCATTTTTAAATCCCATTTTACAAAGGTATGGACCGTAGCTCAACAAGTTTAACATTTCTAAGGCCTCAGAACTAGTAATTATGGAGGCAGAATTGTTACTCTTATCTACTACATCTTAAGTGTCCCTGTTACTTTATTTTAAAATTTTATTTATTTTTTTAATTTCAAAATGTTTACAGGGGTACAAATGTTTAGGTTACATATATTGCATTTGTACCAACCAAGTCAGAACTACAAGTGTGCCCATATCAGACAGTATGCACAGCACCCACTACGTGTGCATTTACCCATCCCCTCCCCATCATAACTTTGAGATCTGGAAAATTCTGAGAGGCACTGTTCTGGCTTCCTCTGCATCCCATCGGAATGGTATAGCCAGGGACTCATTTTTAAAACAAACGTGTACACGGATTTTCACTCAATCAACAAATATTTACTGAATAGCAGACACTCTTCTAAGTACTGGGCATTCAGCTGTGAACAAAACAGACAAAACTCTCCACCTTCAGAAAGTTCACACGTCAGTGAGGAAAGACAGAAAATGAGCAAAGCCACGAGTAAGGTACACGTGATGTTAGATGGCATGAAGGCTATGGAGAAAAATAAAGCACAGGTGTGCAGTGGGGAAACTTACATGCATATTTGTGCATACTACGTGAAGACACATGGATACACATACTTTCCTAAATGCAAAGCCAGCCAACCTGCGACATGGCCACAGTGCTGGGGAGAACTTGAGCTCACAGATCATGCTGACATCAGAGTGAATATTCTCAAAAGCTGAGCAATAAAAATGAGGCACTATTTTGGAGTGATTAAGCAGTGACTTAAAACTGGTAAAATTACTAAGCAGGTCTTTTCTTGGACTTAATGATATTTTAAAATTAGTCTTTAAAAATTATAAATCTCTAAATAAAGTTAATTTCTTGTTTTAGACAGGTACTGTCTTCAATAATGATAATTCCTTAATATTTGCAGAGTCCTTTATAGATTTTGAATTATTTCCAAAGCTGTGATCAGCTCAGTCAACTGCTTTCTGCACATTGGCCTTGTTACCTAAGCACACCCCCCCGCGTGTATTTGTACTGCATGTGTAAGTGTGCCTGTACACTTTGTTTTGGAAGAAGATGATCATACATCTGTGTGACCAACAGTCCTTTCCCTTCTGTGTATACACTGATTTCTGTAGTTATTAGACTTATAGATTTGTGCTCCTGCCCCTTAGGTCCAGCCACCTGACCTGGACAATCCCCATCCCGACTTTCCCAGAATCCCAGAGCCAAGCTTAGGCTAGGATGTTCCCTGGGTGCTGGAGGCCAGGGCGACTTTCCAGTGATCCAGCCTGTAGCTGTGAGGTCGTGCACAAAGGAGCAAAGGCAAATTCCCATGTCCTTGCTTTTCCACCTCCCTGCAGTTTGCCCCAGCATCATTCCACGATCTGCCTGGAAAGCCAGAGAGACCCACTGCCCTGCAATGAAGCTCCCAGCCAAATACGTCATCATCATCCACACCGCTGATGCAAGCTGCAATGTATCCACAGACTGCCAGACAATCGTCCGGAATATACAGTCCTTTCACATGGACACATGGGACTTTTGTGACATCGGATATCAGTAAGTGGGACCCTCTTTTTTCTTCAAGGCTGTAGAAAGGAAGGCTGGGGGAGGGAACTGGTATTTACTGAGCCCTTCCTTTGTGCCAGGTGCTTTACATAAGGTATCATATTTTATTTTTGTAAGACTCTGGACTGAGTGTCTTTCAGAGCATAGCATAGTTAAGGGTTAGTGACCTCTTTTGGGTATATTCTTCACAAGTGGTTGGGAAGACTCTGAAAGGAAGGCACTAGAAGCAGTAGTGATAAAGAAAGACTGTGATACCCTTAGGGGAGGCCAGGGAAGGGATATGCCTTATTATGCAATCTTTCTAACCAGTCAGAGACAAAAAAGACCCTGCTTGCCCCTTGTCACTCTGGTTCAACTCCAAACTTCTTCTCTCCTGCCTGAGAATCCCAATATTCCTCTGGTATTATTCACCCCATTTTATAGATAAAGGAACTTTTTACCTCTCTGGGCCTCTTTTGTCCCATCTCTACAATAGGGACAACAATACTTTCTTATCTGTTTGAAGACAGGGAGTGAGACCAAAATATTCTCTTTTGACACCTTTAATGCCAAGTCTATAATAAAGAAACACATTAAACTCATGGAGTAGTAGAAGCTACTTGGAAGATGCTTTGGAATTTTCGTAGAAGGGATTTGGGTCACAGTATAATAAATTTCAATTATGCATTTGTGACTTAATCACAGAAAATTTTATGAAATCTCATGGAGACTTTCTTTTATAAATGTGTTGTCTGGGCTGTTTCTCTCCTCCTAACTCTTATTTTAAAAGCGACCTTTGCAAACAGGAGAAAGAAAACTGTTGCTGCTTTTTGCAGGATTTTCCTGAATTTTCCTATAGTTATTTAGCACAGATAATAGGGAATTGACTATACATTTGGAAATTCCAAATGGAAAAGCTGAGAGACTGTTCATTTTTTCTCTTTCATTCAACCTTCAGAGATTTGATATCTGTTCCTTGACTTTTAAGACCTGTTAGGGCCTCCTCCTCCTACCCCAGCCTCATGATGTGTTATCTTTAACCCCAATTGGGCTGTGAACAGGACAAAGCACCACTCACTCATCATTTTCTAACTTTTTAACCAATATTTATCAGATATCTATTGTATGGCTGGTGCTAGGCAAGCTATGCCAACCTAAATAACAAACAGAGAGAGATTCTCCAAAGATAATGAGTTTATTCGGGTGTGCAGGAGGGTGAGAGAATCTAAAAACTCAGGATATGCAAGCTATGGGGACCATAGTGTCAATGGAAAAGAAGCCAAACTCTGTAAAATAACTTAAAGAGGTTTATTCTGAGCCAAATTTGAGGACCATGGCCTGGAGCCATGCCCAGGAAGCCTTGAGCAAGTGGACTCACTGTGGTTGGGTTACAGTATGGTTTTATACATTTCAGGGAGACAGGAATTACAGGTAAAGTCATAAATCAATACATGGAAGGCGTACATTGGTTTGGCCCCAAAAGGTGGGTCATCTCAAAGCGGGGGCTTACAAGTCATACGTGGGTTCAGCTGATAAGTGGCTGAAAGAGTGAGGGAGTCAGTGGAAAGAAATGCTTCAGTTAAATAAGGCGTCTTCTATCTTTCATGTGATGCTCTATTGGAATCAGGTTGGAAAGAAAACCACATTATATTGGGTTAACAATGCCTGTTTAGTGAGATTTTATCATTTGTAGGTATGACTCACCAGGTCCCCTAAGAAAGGAATTTGGGCAAAAGAAAAAGATCAGAGTTGAGTCCTCAATAGGCATATCCAAGGAGGTTGAGGAAAGGGGAACTTTTAAAGCCAAGAAGGAGAAGTACACATAATTTGTTGGGAAACGAAGAGGACATTGATTACAGGGGCTTATTGCGCGAGGCAGCAGTTGATGCCACCCCGTTAGTGGGGATGGTGTGTCAGGCAAGTGTTCTCGTGCATACGGCCAGCTATCCTGGTGGTGACTCGTGTAGCAAGCTGCAGTTTAGAAAGCCCTTGGCAGAAGTTCTTGTGACAGGCACATGTGCATAAGAGCCCTCCAGAGAGTCTTCGAGCTGGTTCCCATCATAGGTGTGTGTGCACCAGGGCCCTCCCTTCTCGGCCTCCCGGCTCTATTTATTTATTTTTGTTAGGGTTCGTCACAGTGACTCTATTCTGATTCTGAGAACTTTCACAGATAGGAATGAGAGAGAGATAATGAACAAGTAACTATAATTCAAAGTGTTGAGTGCAATGATGGAGGAGGAACAGGATATGCTAGGGTGAGACTCTAATCAGGACTTGGGGGATTGAGCGGTGTCAGAGAATGGCCCCAGGAAGGAGGGGTGTCCTGGTGGGGACATGGGCCAGGAGTGGGGTTAGTCAGGCAGAAGGGGGAGGAGCAGTGTTTGCAAGGGCCTGGGGTTCAGACAGAGTAGATATCTTTGAGGAATTGGAAGAAGTTTAACTTGAACGTAGAAATAGATTTCCAAGAGAGGAGTGGTGAGAGGTCAGGCAGGAGAGGCCTTCAGGAGCCACATTTAGCGGGCCTTGGAACTGACCCTGAGAAGCTGACTTTATTTGAAAGGCGACTGGAGACTATTTGGAAGGTCATGCCCTATGACGGAATTTGTACTTTTGAAAAATCACTCTGGGTGCTATTCTAAGAATGACTGGAAGGAGGTAAAACTCTGGGCAGGGAGCTATTGCAGTCCTGCAGTGACGTGGAGCGGGGGGGGGGGTGGTGGTGGTGGTGGCAGGTGGCACAGGGTGCAGGGGAGGAGCTAAAAAATGTGCAGGAGATGCAGCTGACAGGCCACGGGCATGACTGATGGGCTGGGAAGAAAGAGCGAGAGGGAGGCATTCAGGACAATGCCCGGCTTTCCAGCTGCGGAAACTGCAGGTAGGTTTGTTTGTACATGTTGGTTTTTACAGATAGTAATTGAAGCTCTGGGGACCGATGATTGTTCAGGTGAATATGTTGCTCGAAAAGAGAGAAGGGGCTGGGAGGGGCATTGAGGAAGGAAGGTGGGACAGCAGCAGCAGAGTGGAGGGGAATCAGCAGGGCATGGGAGTGTGGAAGCCCAGGGAAGACAGCATTTCAAGAAGAGAGTGGGCAACAGGCTCAGCGTAGTCCAGAAGTAAAACCAGTGCCATTGTACTTAGTGTCAGGAGCTCGCTGTCATCTTGGAGGGATCAGATTCAGTGGTGTGCTGGGAACAAAGGCCACCTTTCAGTGGATCGTGGTGGTTTTCTGGGTTTTGTTTTTTGTCTCTGTGCACATTGGTACCTAAGAGACATCCTGTCAATATCTGATAATGGATGAAAGAATGAATTAATGGTTACAGGAGTGAATGAAGCAAATTCTGCCTCCTAGAGTGATTTTCTTCATTCTCCTTTGCCCAATCCCAGCTTCCTGGTGGGCGAGGATGGTGGTGTGTATGAAGGTGTTGGCTGGCACATCCAAGGCTCTCACACCTACGGCTACAACGACATTGCCCTGGGGATTGCCTTCATGGGCTACTTCGTAGGTAAGGGTGAGCAAGGGACACAGGGGTTCCGGGTGAGGAGGCATCACGTGGACTCTCTGTGAGGTGTGGGGACAGGCAGCATGGCAGTGCCTGGCAGTGGCAGTGGCACATTTTAGCGTTAAAGTTGACTTTCAATACAGGATGAATGTCACTAGGAGCCCCTCCCAGACAGAGCATTGACCCCAAACCCACCCCACCCCCATACTCAGCTCCATTTCATGTTATATCCAAGGCAAACATGGAGTCAGGGAGAAAAAAATCTTTTGCAAACTCTGGTGCTGTTATGGCTCACTTGGCAAATGCAGCCCCTTCATTGGTGGCCACGGCAGTGATGCTGGGGGGCACTGCTGCCCGTGTGGCAGAGCAGTGGGTGATCCCTTGGTGCTGTATCTACTCTGTCCCTGCTCAGAAGGGGTGTGTAGTGCTGCAGTTTTCCTCCAGAGCTGTCTTTAACTTTCTGGAAGAAATTTTTGCACAGAGGAATCAGGGAACACGATGACCTTGCTTTCTTTTCGTGCCTGAGTGCCACTATTTATGTGAATTTGCCGGCCATGGTGACGGTGGGATGGGGCATTGTGGGGGAAAGAGGGAGACTGGAATCCAGGTGCTTGCCCCTTCCCTAGTCAAGAAACCTTGAGACCCTAATGACTGGTGGGGAAAATGTGTTTTTCAGAAAAGCCTCCAAATGCTGCAGCGCTGGAGGCAGCCCAGGACCTGATCCAGTGTGCCGTGGTCAACGGGTACCTGACTCCCAACTACCTGCTGGTGGGCCACAGTGACGTGACCAACATCCTGTCCCCTGGGCAGGCTCTGTACAACATCATCAAAACCTGGCCTCATTTCAAACAGTGAGGGAGGCCCCGGCTCCTTCCTAGACTGCTCTTCCTCCCAGCCAGGTCTCCTGTCCTCACCATACAGCCTGGCTCCACACCTTTGGCCCTGCTCCCCCCGGCCGCCCCCCCCAGCCCAGCCCATCCCCCTCCCTCAGGTTAGAATGACCGTGTCCTCTCTTGCTACATCCTCCAGGGGTCCCCAAGCCTGTGGCTGGGCAAACACAGCCCTCTGAGTCTGAGCTCAGCCATCCTCTCCCCTCCTTCCTCCCCTAGCACCCACCTCCTCAGCCAGGTGAGAAGACAGCCCGTCCTGTCATATTCTCTCTCCTCCTACACGTGCCCTCTGCCTGGGGGCCTCCCCTGCTGTCTGTGTGGCAGCCCCCCACTCACCCACGCCCAGGTCGCTGTCCCTGCCCCTCCTCTCTGCTCACACAGGGACTCGTGTGTTTGGATGCAGGGCTGTGATTGTTTACAGATGTGTCTATCCTCTCTACTGAGTGGGGAGTTTCTCCAGGGGAGGAGCTGTGCTTTATTCAACTGTGTCCTCAGTGCCTCAGCAGTGTCTGAATTTAATAGGTGCTACAGACGCTTGTTAAAGAAATGGATGAATAAATCAATGAGTGGATCCAAGTTCCTGCTCACCTTGCCAATTTGCTCTGTCATCCCCACTTTGGGTAGCCTTCCTGGACCTCTATCCCGCCAGCATTTTCTCCGTTCTTCTTCGCTCCTGGTTCAAGGCTCAAAGCTGTCTCTGGTCACTTGTCTGTAGTGGATCTTGTGTCTCTGTCCTCCCAGAGAACCCTGAGGGCAGGGACCATGTGCTCCTCCAGGGCCAGGCCAGGGCTGTGTCTACCTGCCCTTGCCTGGCCTGGCCCCGCTGAGGCGAAGTACCCTGCAGTCCTGCCTGCCTGGGCTCCTCCTGCTCAGCGGGAAGCTCCTTCCTTTCAGACAGGAGCATGACAACGTACTGCGGTTTGCTGGAAGCACACAAGCTGGCTGTTGTTTTTACTGCTTCCTATCTGGAAACAAGGGAAGGAGGGACATAGGAGGAAGGGGAGGCATAAATAGAAGGAGCCAGAAACATGGGATTTTTTTTCCCCCTATAAATTTCTTTGGTATTCATACTTTGTCTTTGCTTTCAGAGTGTTTCCACATCTCTTACAACAAGGCAGCTTTTAATAGCCTCACATTTATACATTTCTTTGTGCTTTTCAAAGACTCTTCCCCTGATCTCATTATATCAACTATGTCCATTTGTCACTTGCCCCAAGACATCCTAAACATGAAAGCAGGGAAAGAATGGTTTGCCCAGAGGATGAAACAGGCACAGGAAGACTCAGTACCTCTTCCTGATTTGAAACCATCTATATTAAAATAATGTTGGCTGGGCGTGGTGGCTCACGCCTGTAATCCTGGCACTCTGGGAGGCCGAAGTGGGAGGATCGCTTGAGGTCAGGAGTTGGAGACCAGCCTGAGCAAAAGCGAGACCCTGTCTCTACTAAACCTAGAAAAAATTAGCCAGGTGTGATGGTGTGTGCCTGTAATCCCAGCTACTTGGGAGGCTGAGGCAGGAGGATTGCTGGAGCCCAGGGTTTTAAGGTTGCTGTGATGCAACAGCACTTGCCTGGGTAACAGAGTGAGACTCTGTCTCAAAATAAATAAATAAATAAATAATTAAAAATAATAATAAGAAAAAAATAAACAAAATAACGTAGAGCCACAAGGCATAACCAGTAATCAAAGTATGGGTTTCATAAAAAGTGTAGATACAGCCAGAAGTTAACCAGTCATAGTTCCCTAACTTCCTTGAGGCTGTCATTGGCTACTGCTTAATGGTACTATCCTCCCCGACAGGCATAACATTAGTGACTCCTCTTCACTACACCTAGAGATAACATCACTATCGTCAAGCCCAAGACTTGGATTCTAGAGATGACATTGCTGTCCTAAGTCCCAAGGACTCGTGGTCCCATAGCTAACAATGCTGTTGTAAATCTTAACACTGGTGTTTAAGGTGTTTTTCAGACTCTGCATGCAGGAGACCTGACACCAGCCAGACCCTGGATAGGCGTGGGAACGGATCCCACAGCCCTGAAATCCCCTACTCAGGAAATCTCCCAAATGAGAAAATAATTTCTGCATCCCGACCTATGAGCTCATCCCCTGCCAATCGGCAGATCCAATTCCCTAACCCTTTTTGCTAGCCAAACTATCTTTAAAAACCCTTTGTCCCAAATTCTCAGGGAGATGATGAAAGGAAGGTCGGTCTTACTAGTGGAAAAATGAGCCCTCTCCCCGACTCCCCCAGGCATCCTGCAGGGGTCTGTTTTGACAACTTCTAAAAGGATCCCAGCAGACAAAAAGGAAATGTAAATGTTTTTCTTTTATGATTGCTAGACCTATGGACTAAAACTGCCTTTTATTGTTATTTTTTAAATTTATTTTTGGATTCTTTTTGTTGCTTTGTTTTTTTAAAATTTTATTTCCGAATATTATGGGGGTACAAACATTTTGGTTACATAAATTGCTTTTGTACCATTTGAGTCAAAGTTGTAAGTGTGCCCATCCCCCAGATAGTGTGCATTGTACCTGTTAGGTGTGAATTTACCCTTCCCCTCTTCACCCCCACTTGCTTGATTTCCGATGGATGTTATTTCCATACGTGTTAATAAGTATTGATCAATTAGTTCCAATTTAATGGTGAGTACTTGTGGTGTTTGTTTTCCATTCTTGTGATATTTTACTTAGAAGAATGGTCTCCAGTTCCATCCAGGTTAATACAAGAGGTATTAGTTCACCATTTTTTTTTGTGGCCGAGTAGTACTCCATGGTATACATATACCACATTTTATTAATCCACTCATGTATTGATGGGCACTTGGGTTGTTTCTACATCTTTGCAATTGTGGATTGTGCTGCTATAAACACTTGAGTGCATATGTCTTTTTTATAGAATATCTTTTTTTTTCCCTTTGAGTAAATACCCAGTAGTGGGATTGCTGGAGAATCTGCTTTATTTAAGCTTCAAGGAGTTTCTGAAAAACTCCTGGACAGACAAGATCTCCGATAGCCATTCCTGCTGTCAGCCTACCACTAAGAAAAGGAATGGATACAGCTGTTTCACACAGCTCTTCTGTTACCTGCCTGTGGCTCAGAAGAAGAGAAGGAGTGGATATGACAGTTCACAGTGCCCTGTTAATTTGACTACAGCCATAAATCATCTTTCACCCCCTGTTTTACAATTCCTAAATAAATGGTTTGATCAACCAGGTTTCTGGGCCAACACACTCTTCCTCATTCATGTTGGTCCTTTTCCCTCTATACAGAAAAGCAAATAAACTTTCTATCCTAATCTTTGTCTGGAGAAATCTTTCTCAAAACCTGTGTGCATTATTAGCTCACACCCTAACAGATGGATTTGAGAAACGACTCCCATCTGCCTGGCACTTTGTGAAATAAAAACTCTTCCTCCCCTGCGACACCTACTATCTCAGTATATTGGCCTTCCCTGGGCGGTGGGCAAGGGACCAGCTCGCTGTAACAGACTGATTTGCACAGCCAGAGCAGGGTGGCTCCAGGACAGGAACTGGAATGGGAAGTTTTCCTGTCGGAGACTCTGCCAACCCAGTCCTCCTGTGTGAGCAGGGGCTGGTCTACCGACTTGCTTGCAGGGGGGAGGGGGGACCTTCCCCAGCAGGGGTGACGTTGACACCCCATCAGGCAGGAAGTAGCAAAGGGGTAGACCAAGATGCTGAGAAATGGTCTCATGAAAAAGCAGTCCTTCTGATTTTTTTTTTTTGTCTTTCCTTTTAGTACTGCGAAGCAGAGGGTCTCATCCCTTTGATTTAAACACCATCCCTACGCCTCAGGGACTCATTGGCTTCCCCCATCCCCACCCCATGTGGGCTTTGGAAGGGCCTGTAGACCCCATTAACACACATGGAGACCTCAAAACAACAAGATTGCACAGTCTGGATTATTGTTTTCTCCAAATTACCTACTTTTATTTATTAAACATACCATCTAAGTAAAATCAGAGCACTCAGCTGGTAAATGCTCTTTCAGGGCAAATTCCAAGGCAGCGTATCCCATGCAGTTCACTTTTTCCGTGTCCTTTCATAGAGAAATTCTTCCCAGCCCTCCTTAATCACTTACAGTGAGGCGATTATACTAACACCCACCTCAGAGGATTGAATAAATATGCGTAAGGGTTTTAGGACCGGTGCTTGGCATATGATTGTTCTGTTGCATCCAGCTGAGGTATGGTAATCGTCATGCTACTGATACTGTGATCCTTGGTGTCTGTTACTCCCGTTTGACTATGGCAGGAAGGATGCGCTTTCGTGAGCACCAACTTCAGTGCCTGGGGAGATCTGGTGCAGGCTGCGCCCCAACCTTGCGATGGGCAGGTGGGAGGCAGGCCTGCCTGCAGGTCGGGCGGAAGACTTGAGGAGCTCGTGGTGGAGGAAGGGGGTCACATCTCCTCACGCCCTGGCCTGTCAGGGTAGGAGGGGTTCTGGGGTTCATCTACTCAGTTGTTTTCCACAATTCTAAGCTGGCAAACAAAGACTCCAAAGTTTTCTTTGGTTCCAGAATAGTGAATACCAATCTGTTTAATGCCCCCTATTTGACAGAAAACTGAACTCAAAGGGAGCAGATGACCTGTTCAAGTTCACCCAATGAGTTAAAGGAAAGAGCACTCAGATTCTGAGGCATGGTGTGGTTCCTTTCATGCCTCTGGTCAAAGTCATGTTATGGCCTCTCCTTTTCAAAAGACTAAACTAAAAACGTCCAAGCATGCCATTTTTTGGGCCATTTGGGGCTTCTGCAATCTCTCTCCAGCCTGCTCTTTTCCACAGAATGAGCCCATGTGACAACTTACAGTCTGACCCCCAACTCTTCCCTCCCTCCATCTGCACCACTCCAGTCCCACCCGGTTTTCAAGATGCTTTCTGAAGGCTAGCTCTTCCAGAAGGCCTCCTGCTTCTCCAGGCCAGAAACGAAGTCTCGGAGCCAAGTGCGTGGACCTGGCCCCGGCTTCTCTGTGGCTTAGGGCTGCCGCGCTTGGCCTCCTGGCTACCCGCGGGCTGGGCAGGCTCCT